CAGATACATTAATGTATTTGCCACAGACAGTTCCCACACTCTGCACTGCTCCTTACAACTTCCTTCACCATTTCCTACAACATGGACCTGTTTCCTTCCCTTCTCATATCATTTAAGTATTACAGAAACATTAATCTAACTGCCAAAAACGGTTCCCCCACTCTGTGCCGCCAGCCTTTAATACTTCCTTCACCACTTCCTACGTCGTGGGCCTGTTTCCTTCAATTCTCATAGCATTTTAGGATTGAAGATTTAATCTAATTTATTAATTAATCTAACTGCCACAGACAGTTCCCACACTCTGCGATGCAAAACTTTACCACTCCCTACGTCGTGGATCTGTTTTCATCCCTTTCCAAAGCATTTTAGTATTTTAGATACATTAATCTAATTGCCACAAATAATCCCCACACTTCGCACTGCTAGCCTTTACTACTTCTTTAACCTCTTCCTGCGTCGAGGACCTGTTTCCCTCCCTTCCCATAGCATTTTAAGATTGCAGATACCTTATTATAATCGTCATAAACAATTCCCACACTCCGGACAGCTCGCCTTGACTACTTCCTTCACCACTTCTTACATCACGGACCTGTTTAAATCTTTTACGTTTATCTTTATTTAGTCAGGTTTTGTTTTCTGAAATACGGAATAAAATCACTAAACAAACAGCAATTCGTAGTATTGTTACAGCAAATCAAATAATTACCTAAAAAAACTGGTCAAAGAGATTCAAATGGACGCATTTGGTCCCTAGACTCCACGTGATTGACTGGAAACAGTGCAACACAATAGATGAAGTCCAGCTGGAGCTGACCAACAGTTTGCTTCAATATTATTTGGCCTTAGAAGCACTCTAAATGTATCTTAAGTGATGTAAGAGTTACAGTTTTATCTTAATGGTTATGGCTTTAAATCCAATGAAATCACAATAAAACAACAACTTGAACTTTTCCAGGGTATTTTTCAGAAGAGGGTATACATCATAGATGTTTAATCATTAAGGCTAACTCTTACATTTTACTTTCAATTTAACCTGTTTACATATAGTTGGCAGTTTTCACTGCATGAAACATATTTTAGGGCAGAAATAAATTATTTACAGCATGTGAATTAAGTCGTCGAGGCCTGTTTCGATATCTTTGTGTAAGTAACTAGGTGGCGTTCACAGATGCATCCACAAAATTGAGCGGAGTCATCAAGGGTTCATTTAATATTGTTTTTGTCATACTGAAGTAAAAACAGTCGTCATTAAAGCATGCGTTGCGCGTCTAAAGTAGCATTTTTACTCTTTAGGGAATACAATTCGTTTTTAGCCTCAATGGAGTAAAACTCAGCTGTTGTCAACTCAGTTGTAAATTTCTATTGTAAACGATCGTGGACCTGTTTTCATCACTTTCCATAGCATTTTAGTATTTTAGATACGTTAATCTAATTGCCACAAACATTGCCCACACTCCGCACTGCTAGCCTTTACTACTTCTTTCACCATTCTCTATGTCGTGGGCATGCTTCCATCCCTTCTCATAGCATTTCAGCATTGCAGATACATTAATCTAACTGATACAAACGGTTTTCAGTTCCCAAACTCCACACTGCTCACCTTAATACTTCCTTTACCTCTTCTTACGTCGCAGACCTGATTCCCTCTCTTCCCATAGAATTTTAAGATTTTGATACCAAGATACATTAATCTAATCGTCATAAACAGTTCCCAAAATCCGAAAAACTCGCCTTTACTGCTTCCTTCATCACTTCCTACGTCACGGACCTGTTTACCTCCCTTTCCTTAGCATTATTGGAATGCAAATACCTTAATCTATTGGTCATAAACAGATCCCACACTCCGGACAGCTCGCCTTGACTACTTCCTTCAACACTTCGTACATCGCGGACCTGTTTTCCTCCCGTCCCATAGCATTTTAGGATTGTAGATACCTTAATCTAATAGTAATAAACAGTTTCGACACTCCGGACAGCTTGCCTTGACTATTTCCTTCACCACTTCCTACGTCGCGGACCTGTTTTCTTCCCTTCCCATAGCATTTCAGGATTGCAAATACCTTAATCCAATGGTCATAAACAGATCCCATACCCCGAAAAGCTCGCCTTTACTACTTCCTTCACCTCTTTCTACGTCGCGAACCTGTTTCCTTCCCTTCCAATAGCATTTTAGGACTGCAGATACTTTAATCTAATTGTCATAAACAGTTCCCACTCTCCGGTCAGCTCGCCTTGACTACTTCCTTCACCACTTCCTATGTCGCGGACTCGTTTTCCTCCCTTCCCATAGAATTTTAGGAATGCAGATACCTAAATCTAATCGTCATAAACAGTTTCCACACTCCGGACAGCTCACCTTGACTACTTCCTTTACCACTTCCTACGTCGCGGACCTGTTTCCTTCCCTTCCAATAGCATTTTAGGACTGCAGATACCTTAATCTAATTGTAATAGGCAGTTCCCTAACTCCACACTGCTCACCTTACTACTTCCTTCACCTCTTCTTACGTCGCAGAACTGATTTCCTCTCTTCCCATAGATTTTTAAGATTGTAGATACCAAGATACCTTAATCTAATCGTCATAAACAGTTCCCACAATCCGAAAAACTCGCCTTTACTGCTTCCTTCATCACTTTCTACGTCACGGACCTGTTAACCTCCCTTCCCTTAGCATTATTGGAATGCAAATACCTTAATCTATTGGTCATAAACAGATCCCACACTCCGGACAGCTCGCCTTGACTACTTCCTTCACCACTTCGTACATCGCAGACCTGTTTTCCTCCCGTCCCATAGCATTTTAGGATTGTAGATACCTTAATCTAATATTCATAAACAGTTTCAACACTCCGAACAGCTTGTCTTGACTATTTCCTTCACCACTTCCTACGTCGCGGATCTGTTTTCTTCCCTTCCCATAGCATTTTAGGGTTGCCAATACCTTAATCTAATGGTCATAAACAGATCCCATACCCCGAACAGCTCGCCTTTACTACTTCCTTCACCACTTCCTACGTCACGGACCTGTTTCCTTCCCTTCCAATAGCATTTTAGGACTGCAGATACTTTAATCTAATTGTCATAAACAGTTTCCACACTCCGGGCAGCTCGCCTTGACTACTTCCTTCACCACTTCCTACGTCGCGGACCCGTTTTCCTCCCTTCCCATAGAATTTCAGGAATGCAGATACCTAAATCTAATCGTCATAAACAGTTTCCACACCCCGGCCAGCTTACCTTGACTACTTCCTTCACCACTTCTTATGTCGCGGACCTGTTTTCCTCCCTTCCCATAGAATTTTAGGAATGCAGATACCTAAATCTAACCGTCTTAAACAGTTTCCACACTCCAGACTTCTCAACTTTACTACTTCCTTCACCACTTCCCACGTCACGGACCTCAAGCTAGTGTCGTCATTTGATTATTTTATGATTCATTCCACCGTTTATGTTCTAATATCTGTGGAATAATGCTATCAGCTATTTATTTATCTACTGCATTCAAAAGTCAATAGCTGATCATATGTCTTTGTTTATGTGTCAAATACTGCTTCTATAAGGATTACATTGAAACTTTGAGACCCAGTGGGGCGGATTCCTGAGAGTTATTTTTAACGCCATATAGATGTTGACACTCACCGATATGGTCTTTATCACCATCCAAAATTTGAAAACGATTGATTCAGCCGTCTAGGAGGAGTTTGCGTATTACGAAATGCATAAAAGTCGACGTATAAGAGCTTCGCTCGCTTTGCTCGCTCCGCTCAATGATAACGTTTTAGTAAAGTACGCTTCTAATACAGTAGGTGTGAGGCTTTCGGCTTTGTTAAAATCGTGTCATCCTTACTATCGTTATATTTAGATAGACAATTCATAATATATTCTTGTAAAACATGCTTACTCCATTTAGTTACTGGACAAGGGCACTCGAGCTTATCCGCAGTGTAATACAGTGAATCAAGGGTTGCTGCAGTGTTTAAGCTGCTTGCGATGGACTTTTCATTACGAAATTTATAACTTTAAAGACTAAAGAAGAAAATTCAGGATAAACATTCTTTTTGCAAAATAAACTAATACAAGCTGCTATACTCGTGTTTTGCAACATGGAAGAAAATGTGACCTAGAGAGCTATTAAAGTGGTGCTGATGTGTGTTTTAAAATACAGCAACTCTATGATTTAGTTTGAAAATATAAACTGATTTAAAAGTGCAAACCTAATTACTTTCAAATCCCTACTTTTTATGTTAATAGATCCAAAATAATATGACAACATACCTTAGTGTAGCAATAGCATCAATTGCTTCATATGAATGGCAGTTTTACATAATTCTTCAATTTTAGTCAAGCCCATTTACATGTAGCTTACTATATAAATTACAAAATGAAACTTTGAGCAATATACTTTACAAAACGTACACAATCTTTCTTTAAAACCAAACATAACCCTCGTAAATCTACATAAAGCGTCACAAACATCTTTTTCGAGTAAATAAACAAACACCAGTTCATTGTACTGACCAGCTGTTTCATCAACCAAATTAAATTAAACTAGTGCAACTGTTGCTCGAATTCGAGCAATTGCAAAGTATTACAGGTGTTAATTCAAAACTAATAACAGTCATCATTATTTCCGATGACTTAAAAGAGTAAACTCAAAGATAATGTAATCAATCACTCCATTCCAGTTATCGAAACTGAAAACGAACGCTCTTGTGTGTATCATGTGTTTACTATGAACAGCTGCAATTAATACAAATTAGTTGTCTGTTTCAGTAAACAAAATCATCTTTTCATAAGAAATACATTGGGATTTTGTGGTGATGTGAACATTATCACCTGATAATATTTATTATTTGATTTGTTTGTAAATATTGTATTTGTTCTTAACTAAAACATGGTTGTAACTTTGAATGAATAAAAGCCATACTTTTGGTTTACTAAGTCTTTCTTACAACAATTTTATTCATTCATTGATAAACTCAGTTAGTGCTACATTACAATGGAGAAATTCCTTAGACCAGACAAATTGCAAATTGACCCGGAATCTCCAACTGCCTCAGAGGAATGGACGCACTGGTTACAAACATTCGAAGACTTTCTAACCATGACAGAATTCGTTGAAGACAAGGACAAACTGAAACTACTAACTAATCGATTATCTTTTACTACTTATAAATTTATCAAGGAATCTGAAACTTACCAAGACGCTTTGAGAGTTCTTAACTCAATTTACATCAAACAAAAGAATGAAATATTCTCAAGATATTTAGTAATGACTAGAAAACAGCAACAAGGTGAGACTATTGACAAATATGTGTCGGAACTGAAACTTTTGAGCCAAGATTGCGTTTTTGAAGCTGTTAATGCGATTCAATACAGGGATCATTACATTCGTGATGCTTTTATCAATGGCTTAGCCTCGTCATACATACGACAGAGACTATTTGAAAATAAAACTTTAGACCTAGCTGAAGCAGTGGAACAGTCTAGAGCTCTTGAAATGGCTCAAGCTCAAGTCGAGAGCTATCCAAAATCTATGTACGAAATGCAAACTTGTGCAACGAATGAATTGGCAAAGCAAGCTTGTCAGTACGAATTCGCACTACAACAAAAGGAAGAAGCGACTGTTTCCGCTATTAAAAATGTTGATGGCAAGTGTTATTTTTGTGGGCATGATAGACACTCTAGAGATCGCTGTCCAGCCAGAGAAGCAACTTGTGGGAAATGTAACAAGACAGGGCATTATGCGAGAGTCTGTAAAAGTAATCCAACTCAACATTTTAAAGTAAAACTGAAGACGTCTAGTACATCAGCTGCACTAATAGCAACTACACATAATACATCTGTATTGAAGGACTCTACAGTTGAAGCTAAAGTGAATGGCCTGAAAGCAAATTGCTTAATAGACACCGGGAGTACATCAAGCTTTGTAAACTTGAAGTTTGTTCAGTTAAACAAAATTAAAATGTATAATGAAAGTGGACAAGTATCACTAGCTGCTTCTAATATGAAATCAAACGTCCACGGGTTTGTTGAAATCAACCTAAATCTGTTGAATCACAATTACAACAATTTTAAGATGACTGTTCTTGAAGATCTTTGTACTGACGTGCTTATCGGACATGATATCATGAAACTCCACTCAAATATACAGGTTTGGTTTGGAGGTAAGAAACCTCCTCTGTTGGTGTGCTCCTGTGCCAAAGTTGAACCACCCAAACTATTCTGCAATTTAACTCCAGATTGTAAGCCAATAGCCACAAAATCACGACGTTACTCAGATGAAGATATGCAATTTATATAAAACAAGAAATGGAAAGACTACAGACTGAGGAGATCATTGAACCTAGTTCGTCACCTTGGCGTGCACAAGTGTTGGTTGTTACAAACGACAAAGGGAAGAAGCGACTGTGTGTGGACTATTCGCAAACGATAAACAAATTTACTCTGTTAGACGCCTATCCCTTACCAAACATAGATGATCATAGATGATCATAGATGATGAACATAGTATCCACTGTAGCGACGAACAAGGTTTTTAGTGCCATTGATCTAAAGCAAGCATACTATCAAATACCAATTTCTGACGAAGAGAAGAAGTTCACTGCTTTTAAGGCTGCTGGTCGTCTTTTTCAATTCAGAAGAATCCCATTTGGCGTAACCAACGGGGTGGCATGTTTTCAAAAGACCATGGACCAAATCATTAGAAAAGAAAAACTGAATGGAGTGTATGCCTATCTGGATGATTTGACCTATGTGGAAAGGATCAAAAGGATCATGATGAGAATCTAAGAACATTTTTAGATACTGTAACTAAGTATGGACTTGTAATCAACAACGAAAAGAGCAAGTTCAACCAGTCTTCAATAACCTTGTTGGGACATTTAGTTTCCCATAACTCTATTCAACCTGATCCAGATCGGCTAGAATCTCTACTGTCACTTCCTGTGCCCAAAGACCAAGTTTCACTAAAGCGAGTCCTAGGATTTTTCGCTCACTATTCAAAATGGATACATCGGTTTTCTGATAAAATAAGAAACCTGACACAAGTCAATTCTTTTCCTTTGTCACAGGAAGCGGTTGCAGATTTTGAATCCCTCAAACTTGACATTGCGAACTCAGTAATTACTCCTAGGAATGGGCAAGAGCCACTGGTAGTGGAGACTGACGCATCTGACATAGCCGTGGCAGCAACTTTGAGTCAAGATAATCGGCCAATTGCTTTTTTCTCACGGACTCTAAGCAAATCTGAGAAGCTGTATTCAGTTGTTGAAAAAGAAGCCGTTGCCATTGTCGAAGCCCTTCGAAAATGGAAATCATTTCTTATCGGAAGGGACTTCAGATTATACACGGATCAGCAAGCTTTATCATTTATCTTTGACAAGAGGCATACAAGCAAAATCAAGAACGATAAAGTTATGAGATGGGCGACTAGAGCTAACACCTTATCAATATGAAATAGTGTACCGACCTGGTAGGGAGAATGTAAAAGCAGATACGTTCTCTCGGACATGTGCGGTTCGCTGGGACAATGCTAAGTTGTTTGAATTACACAAATCTCTCTGCCATCCGGGAGTCACTCGAATGTTTCATTGGATTAAAACTAAAAATCTAAACTACACTCTGGATGATGTAAAAAGGATGACGTCAGCTTGTCAAACATGTGCAGAAGTGAAGCCAAGATTTCACCAATTCCAAGGCAAATTGATAAAGGCAACCACTCCCTTCGAACGTCTAAATATTGACTTTAAGGGCCCTCTTCCATCAACAACCAGAAACCGTTACCTTTTAAACATGGTGGACGAGTATTCTCGTTTTGTATTTGCTTACCCCTGTAAGGACATTAGTTCAGCAACAGTTATCAGATGTTTTTCAGATCTATTTTTTATGTTTGGAGCCCCGTCCTTTGTACATTCAGATAGAGGTTCATCTTTCATGTCGCGAGAGCTGACGGACTTTCTTCACAAGTACGGAGTAGCTACAAGTCATACGACACCTTATAACCCTAGAGGGAACTCTCAGATTGAACGCTTCAATGGAACAATATGGCGAATCATCCTACTAGCTTTGAAAACCCACAACCTGCCAGTTGCTGCATGGGAAGAAGTATTACAGGAGGCACTTCACTCAGTCAGATCTCTTTTATGCACTGCGACAAACTGCTCACCGCACGAAAGATTCTTTATACATAGCAGAAGATCTACCAATGGAGACTCCTTACCATCTTGGCTATCCGCTCCTGGTCCTGTCCTGCTTAGAAAGTTTGTAAGATCTAATAAATATGATGACCTTGTGGAGCCAGTTCAACTTTTGGAATCAAATCCACAGTACGCTCTCGTCAGAAGAAGAGATGGGTCAGAATCACAAGTATCCCTGAGACATCTTGCACCCGCTGGCCTACCTCCTGGTGATCTACCTCATGAAGACAACACTACTGAGAGAGAGATTGTTGAAAATATAAATTCAGACATTGACCACAATGAAGTTCAAAATGAAACTCAACAAACGGTATCTCAGACCCCAACTTCAGAGACGGCTGTGGGGGAACTACGTCCAAAGAGGAATGTCAAGCCTCCGTCATATCTAAAGGATTACATATGCTATACCTACCTTGAAAACTAGTGGGGGAGAATGTGGTGATGTGAACATTATCATCTGATAATATTTATTATTTGATTTGTTTGTAAATATTGTATTTGTTCTTAACTAAAACATGGTTGTAATTTTGAATGAATAAAAGCCATACTTTTGGTTTACTAAGTCTTTCTTACAACAGATTTTGATGGCCTGTGGGGCAAAGCCCGAGGACTTTTATTACAGGAATTGGTGAAAGGGGGTGTCTAAACAAAAAATACTTCATTTTGACACATCGTTTGTAAAAATCCGTCCATTATTAACGGAGGAGTAATCAAATAATAAATCGCCTTCACGTATTATAACGGATAATTTAAGCTTTGGAAGCATGCCAGGCGTAGCCCTGTGGAAATCAGACTATGGAGCAGAGCCCTTAGGAAATTCGTCCATATCAACACTTTTCGGTAAATCTACACACTCTAAGCCTAATTTTTAAGTGCCATATGCCTATATTTTTATTTGGTAAATGGCCTTAACTGAACATTTACATAAAATTTGATTTACTGAGCCCTAATTTAAAAAATCTATAGTTTTGATACCTGGGTCCGTGGTGCCGTCCTGTAATACAGCTACTTGGAGGTCTTTAATAGTGGATATTTATAGGCTTGGTCAGTGGATGTGGTACTCCCTGGTGAGGAATAACGTCCGAAAAAAGTGAGTACAACGACTATCCGCAACTATCCTGATTATTAGACCAACTCGTAAGTTACAAGAAAAATTTGGTTCGGATTTCACTATAAACTGTACGTCCCTTAGTTGTCATTGGATGCATAGGCTATCAGTTAAGTCCTGTCTAAGGAACGTTTCGGCCTTAGTAACGACGAGACTACGAGATCGCGCCACTCGTCCTACACTCATTTCTATTCTTACTTGGCTTAAGATACCTACCTTCGTATGGTCGCCATTTCAGGTGAAAGTAATAAATAAAGTATCAAACTTAATATGGTCATATAGTTTGTGTAAATTTTAAGATTTTACCTAAAATTAAAAAGAGTCTAGAAAACCTACCTTATACTCGCATTTAAATATAATGGTTACGCCTTAGTTCCCCACGTGCGAACGTAATATCACATTGTATAAAGGAATATACAGGTATATGAAAAATAGAATACAGGTTTATATGAGGATAGTTATCTAACAAGCTGTGGTTTCTGAGAATGCTCACTTTGAACCATTTTATTAACTCTAGCATCGCGTCGTTTGATATAACTCCGTGATGTTATTCTTGCTAATAAATTAATGGTGTTGGCTACTATAATATAGTACCCGTAAAATAAGTATTTAAATATAACAAACATCTAAGAAAATAAGTTAGAATAATTGGATTCTAACACGGTCATCTTCTACTTCAGGCCGCGGCGTTTTAAGTGGCAACACTGTCAGTAGTTCTGTTTTGAATAACACGCAATTAATTAGAGGGCACTATCTATCTGCCATGTTAGCTTATGAGACGTCTGGCACGAAACAGCCCTACTTGCGACGTTGCCAATTCTACCGGGCCGCAGCCTGGAGTTAAAGGTGGCCTGGAAACGTCAAAGTTGGGCTTGTAGACCAATTCATTTCCACTGAATAACCAAACAGCTGACCACCTCAAACGTGGTACGCCATGGCGTGATATGGTGCACCATATCACTAGTCATTATTAGCACTAGTCAGCATTAAGGCACATGATATAGCTCCTAAACCAGGTTATAATTAATACAATCATTAATGCCAGGTGACGTTTAATAGAATAACCCTAGAGTTTTCATTGGGGTCCAAAAACATCATAAGGTAAAAGGTACTTTTGTTTATCGCAACACGGTTTATTGTGTTCTATCAAATCTCGAAATTATCAAATAAAACTGATAGAAGGGAAAACATACTTTACTATCAAGAAGGTATTTTTATGAAGGTTCTCATGATTTTATTGAGGCTCTAGCAGGGGATTAGAGTGACATTTACTCATCACTGACCAACAACAATAATACTATATTTTGGTGATACAAAAGGTAAATTACACATTATTTAGACAGATTTCCTTTCAAACAGTTGTGTAATTTCTGTGAATACAGAAACTGACAGAAAAGTATAATGTTTGCTCATATTGACATATTGAGGTAGGCTTCGAAACGTTCTCAACTTATTCTTTAATGGGAAATCAATTAGTTTGTTGCCCGTGGGTGATTTTGAGTATTTCATCAAAATTCTTATCTCTTAAGGCCAAAAAACAACGAAGAAAAAGTTACTGTTAAAAACTGTATCTAACAAAATGCTTAGCTGTTCGTTATTGACCGTTGACAAATCAATGTAAAATAAGTACGTCATAACAACTAATTTTTTGTTGAGTAGGCTACGTAATGTCCTTTACGCTCATAAAATGCTCAGAAAAAAACAACTCTATTTTGGATATTTATTTCAAGTAAATGACATCGAACTTTTAAATGCAAATACCTTTTTGACATTTACAAAGTTTAAATACAATCATAAGATGAAATAATTTTTGTTTGTATGAATTGTGTTTTTATGCGAGTGCAGTATATTGGTTGTTTTTGAACATTTATAATTTATCAGTGTGGCTCATAATGCATTCTTTATTATTTGTATTCACTTATCCTAAAACCGAGCCAATCGGTGAACGATTTGAGGTACTGAATAGGGAGTCATGATACGGATGATATATTAACGTCAAATTATTAATAGAAAGAAAATTGCGCATTTCATGATAAAAGTTTTATAATTACAAAAAATTTAAAATGTTTTTTCATACAATGTATGTAATGTTCATTTCGCCTTTGCATGGAGACGAAAATCGCAATTCATTTACACAGATCATATGAAATGTCCGAAAAATAACTAACTTCAAATTTGAAAATGTGTACAAGAGAAATATTTAGGAAGCACGCAGGTCTAAGTGCGTGGGATATTTTAGAAAGACCATTTTGATTCAAGTATTGAATCAAAGACTTGATGAAATATTTTTCAACAACCTCTGGTTTCTTCCACCAATGCTAACTCTTTACAGACTTGTTTGAATTTACAGGTATCTGAGTATTTATTTCTAGGTCAGGAGGTGGTGGAGGGCCTTCTTCGTAAAGTGAATATTTGAACTGCCGCAATTCTGGCTTCATCCTTGCAAGGTAATCTTTGTACGACTCGCCTGTCAACACCATCCACTTAAGGAATTGTAGAAGTTCTTCATCAAGCAGAGTACAACTTTTACTTTCAAGATGGTCACGAATGTGGTCTAAAATACATTGGGTGACTTTCTTCAATAGCTGTTCTGATTCTGGAGATATCTTAGCGTACTTTGACAAAGTTTCGTTTCTTCTGTAAAGTCCCAAATTATGACCCACCACAGATCCGCTTTGAGATTCAGCAATCACGGTTTCTACGATATCGTTTGCAATTTCCGCGTCAAAACTATCTTCATCGTCATTTTCTTCTTTTTCCTTTGGGTTTGGTGTAGAAAAATACAATGGTGTAATTTCAACAATGATTGTGCCGGTTGTGTTGTCTGCTGGATTTGTTCTACTGATATTGGAAGTAGTGATATCTGATATATTGACTGAGCTATCGAAAGAAGGTACTGGTGTCATGGAGTAATTTACAGACTTTGAGTCTGCAGTGTTATTTACATCCTGCACGTTGCCATTCAACAAACTGTCAGACTCTTGCACCGGTTTGACTGGTGGGTGTTTCATAAATGGAAGTTGATAGCTTCTTACACCTTTTCCTCTTATGACAGGTTGTTCTCTTCTTTTAACGTACTTCACCAATCCAGCCATTTCAGTGGTAACAAATACGTTTATGTCATGCATAGCGAAAGACACATTAGCAATCGTTTCGTTTCTGTCAGTTTCAAATTGAAGATCCGGTTCGACTGTTGATGGCTTTTCCTTCGGTTTTTTCACACCTCCTTTTTGTAAAATATTGCCAATTTTATTTGGAACATAGTACTTAACACTTTTTTGTGAATTGTCTGGAAAAGGTTTTTGCAAGATATTGAATTCTTTGATTGAATGGGGTTTTACCCTTTTACGTCCATATGTTGATTTAATGTAGTCTTCTGCTTTAGATACGTCGTCGGACAAACCACTTTTGAATGAGTTCTGCGATACTGTACTACTATTAAACTCATTCCCAAATAGTATTTTCATTGCTTTAACTTGATCATCGTTGAACATAGCTGAACGTCTGTAGCTACTTTTAGGTGCACCTTTCCTTTCGTCACTAGATATATCATCAATAAAATGTACTGGGTTATCTTCTTCAATATCATTGGTATCCAATATCTCATCATGAACTACATCATGTTCACCGTATTCATTGTACTCCTCATTGTTTGCATCGTCTTTAACAGAGAGTAGTCTCCTCCCAAAAAAGTTCGATGTGAAACCGGGAACTCCCCCTTCAACTTGAGATTCTTCGTCATCCGAATCATAAACCTCTGACGACTGATTTTCAGACTCATCATAATCATTTTGTAAAACTGCTTCATTACTTCCTAATTCATCCTTTGTGTCGTCTTCCTCCAATCCAGAATCGTAAATTTCTCCTTCGACCGACAAAAGTTGTCTTGTTCCGTACTTCCCTGGGAACTCAACATCACCATCTGCTTCACTGGTGTTCTGTTTTCTCCATTTCCCTTTTGAGCAATCTTCACACGCCGCCATCTCACCACAGGGGCACTCCCTACTAATTGGGCTAGCTTCTCTAAACGCACACCTACAATCCACACTCTTCGGCACGTATTCACCAGGAGCACTACGTTTCACATTATACCCATCCGGAGGATGCATATTGTTAGCTAGGTCTGTGTACTTCCTAATAACTGCTTCTTGTTCTTGCGGATCCAACCAGTATTTCTCCTCTAGAATCCCTTGCAGTGGATCAGGATGGAAGTCAATGTCTTCATCGTACACTGGAAATTCCGGTATCACTCCGATCGGTTTGTATACAGTAAGTGGATTAAGATGCTCCAACTCATTCGGCACACTATTTACAAGCGTTTGCTTATCAACTTTACGTTTTTTCTCCGCATCTGAGTACAGTGATGTGATTTCATCATCATCTTCTCTATTCCTCAACTTCTTGAATCCTTTTTCCTTGTATATAAGAGGTTTTGAATTTCGCTGTTCCCTCTGACAGTTTTCTTTTGAGGATTGTTTCTCTTGTATGCTTACAATTGGTACACTCGGTGCATCATCAACCATTGGAGGATCAATGTTTTGTTGTCTGTAACATTCCACCTGTTCGTCATCACGCAACGGTTCTCCACTCAACTTTAAATCCTGGACCCCAGCAGCTGACTCTTGAGCAGCTCCGTGTTTGGTTTTTGGGTGTTTTTGCACTGATTTTTCCTTATGGCTTCTAAACAACTCGTTTACTGGATCGAATGCGAATGGGACGTTGTCGTTGTCTTTCCCAAGTCTTGAGCCCGTCTCTGATGGATTAGAGGGTTCTTGATCTGCCTCGGATGGGTTGGATGATTCTTGATTTGCCTCTTTATCTATATTCACTTCATTGAGTTCGTTTTCATCTGGTATATAGCGGGTTTCTCGTGTTTCACTTGCTGAAATCAAAAGAAATGTTTTGCTATTGTATTTAAAAATATACCTTATGACAATATAATACTGTATATCGATGATGGCTAGGATATTTAACTTATGTTTGTACGTTGAAATGGTTTAACATTTTTAAATAACCTTAGCCTTTATAACGGTACAAGCTGATTTGTATTATGTGAACTGATATGAAGTGATAAGATATAAGAAGATATAATAGGTATGTTAGTTTTTCCTGTAAAAAATCATATTAAATATGCTTAGTCAGATAAATAACTAAAAGGTAGGATAAGATTTTTACATACAGTTAACCCTATTACAAATACTAGTGGTTCTGCATGTGCTTCGCAACGTGGCAAGAATACTAAAGACAAAAGTGAGGGTCTCTAAATCAGTTAAACTAAACGCAATTACCATTCAATTCATACAGGCAAATGTCATTCAATTATTGATTAATTGAGTTGGGGGCGCCACCTAGGTGTACTTACTGGTTGTTATTTGAGAAAATTGTGTATCTATTTGTATTGTGCAATAAACTGTGTGACAGAATAAAAAATAATAACTTTTTTGTAATGTAAACACCTATAACGGAAATTAAAAGAACATCTCATGGAAAAAGGTAAACAAACAAATATATACAAAACAAACCCAACAGCTGCTGCATCTTTAATATTTTAAACTAGCTGTACCCACGGGCTTCGCCCCGTTTAACTTCATAAGTATTCGCATGGCTCATCACGTCCTGGTTGAAGTTCGTTCGCTACGCTCACTCACCTTTAGGTTGGAGCTCGTTCGCTGCGCTCACTTGCCTTCAGGTTAGCTCGTTCGCTACGCTAACTCGCCTCCAGGTTGAAGTTCGTTCGCTACGCTCACTCACCTTTTGGTTGGAAATTAGCTGCTGTCATAAATTAAAAAAAAAATAATAGTGCTGCACCCTGTTGGTAATCCTTGTAACTTTTATGCTATTGAACATCATAGAACAGACCCAACTTGTTTAATTGAAACAGCTGTTAAGATTCATTAATTCCTTTTAAATATGAAAAATCATAAGATTAACATGGGGAACTACAGAGCCACTGGGGTGGAGCCCGAAAGGGTTTTTGAGATAAGAATATGCTTTAATGTTAATCGGGAATGTGAGCTATCATCATGCCAAATTTCAGCCCAATCCGTCCAGTAGTTTATGCGTGATTGAGCAACAAACACACACACAAACATACACACAAACTCACAAACTTTCAGATTTATAATATTAGTAAGATGCGATTATAGCTATTTACCTTACAAATGTAGTAAGAGCGTTTTTACATCACGTAGGTGAATGTTGTCGGAAGCGAGTTCACCTAAGTGATGTAAACACGCTCTTGCGTAACGTGAACGTACAAGATTGTCCCTGACCCGACAATATACAGGGGGTTACGTACAATATTTTACCCAACCCGCCATGTTAAACTTCCCTATCCCAAGCGTGATGTAAAAACGCTATTACTACACTTGTAAGGTAAATGGCTATTTCATTATCCATTTCACTCGTATTCTAACGGTTACGTTCTTTTTTTACAAACAAAAGCTAGGTTAGGAAAATTCTTTAAAGCAAAACAATAAAATTCAAGCGCACAGTGCACGAGCGTTGAACGTCGTTGGCTCCATAGAGGTATATTTTAAGTTGAGCCCTCAATGTTATTTAAATGGGTTTCACTACTTCACCGAGTGAAGTTGTATACATCACGCTTGGGATAGGGAAGTTTAACATGGCAGGTTAGGTATAATATACAGCCCTTTAATTGAGGGTCGTGCCTTTGGGAGAGGGTTTATAAAATAACTGATATTATTTGGAGAAGTTTCACATCAAGACCTTTCATTCATTATGTGGCTGATTGGTCTGCGGGTATGGTTTTCTTGAAAGTTCGTGATCCTTATTAGCTTTGTATATTGATAAAATACAAGACTAATTAATTTAATTACTTATCATGCTCAATTTATTAAAAATGAATAGGCTAATATAAACTTTTTAAATTCATTCAAGTGGAGCAACTGTCAACAGCTGGTGCAATTCAAACAAGCCCACTGAGCTAGAAAACAACTGGAGGTAGCACTGGCATGGCAACTCTGCTAGAAAACCAAGATGACCTAAAATTGTGCTGCGTTGGTACACACTAGAGTCATCAGGTCATTGCATCATGGATTTATGTATGTACAATCCCACAATCCCCGAGCTCAAATGCAAGTTAATGTACTTATCCCATAGTACAAATGATGGCCAACGTCAATGTTACCTGCAATAGCATTTCCAGCTCAGTGAACAAACATGGCATTACTGCGTAATGCTTTAGTGTTAACGTCTGAAGTATTGTTTTACATGTACCTAATAATTCTAACCAACTGTGTATTTAGTGTTCAAGGATTCGAAAACAAAGAAGTACTGTAGTTTCTATACCTAGATCTTACCATGAAAACTACGGTTTAAGCATAGACAAAAGGAATTAAATATAGACTGTCAGTCGCGCTGCGGTTACCATGGTTACCATAGGTTCTGGCGGACCCCGCTGGGAGTGCTGTGTAGTTACGTAGCGCGTACGCTGTAGCTAGATGGCGCTCCCAGCGGTGTGCGCCAGAAGCTATGGTAACCACAGCACAGCTGACGGTCTATATTTAATTCTTTTTGTCTATGGTATAAGCTACTTCCATTTAGGGGAATTTGCTAAATAACTTAGAATTTAATAGTTAGATATTTCTGGAAAAAATATATTGTGCCTTTTTTCTATATATTCTAAAATGCATGTTACTGCATACGTACATATATCTTCCAACTGTGGAGGGTCCGCATGATCTTCTAAGGCAATATCTGGTGTCTAAAACAATTGAATAGAATTTAAAAGTCCTCTTTGACAACTTCAGACAGTGTATTTGAAATAATTAAATCTTTTTAGTACTAAATCATTAATTAAGCATATATAATTCATCTACAGAGATCGAATAAAAGAAAAACACGTTTTATATTTGTGTTAAATATGTGTATAGGTAGTGATTGTTTTTAAATGTACAAAAAACATTATGTTGGAAACCAAGCGGGTCTAGTGGTAGAACGCAGACTTCGGTCTCCAAGTTACTGGGTTCAAACCCGCCAATTACCAATAGATTTGATCCAATTGGATAATGCCGCCACTTTCTCTAGGCATAGCCTAAGTAAATGTGGAAAACAATTTCTGGTTAGATCCTAAAGGATTAAATACGACATCATTTTGACTGTATCCAACACAAAACGTAAACAGTTTATTAACAGTTAGCATTCACTATTCCATCTGAAAACTTCGGAATTTTGTTTCTCTTGCAGACTTGCAATGAGTGTATCATCAGCCATTTGAGGGCCAATGTTTTATACACAATGGCAAACTAATTATTTATGTTGCTGAATGTACGTGTTCCTTTTCTTTTGCTGAATCTCCACTTAAGTTTTATTGGCAAGGAAATAATTTATAATAATGAAAATAAACCTTTTCTGCAATAGCAAAGGCTACTTTTGAAACCAACTTAAAAATTGGTAGCTTCAAGGATAGTAGAGGGTAGGGAGCTTAACGGATTTTGAAGTTAATTTTCAACAAATCAATAAGAATCTCTCATTCATACACAACCAATTGGTATTTTGGTATGATTACAAGGACTTATAAAAAGTCAAAACTTACCGGCCTTGTGTTACTCAATAATGGCATGAGGAGCAGTATATGTATGACGCCAACAGCGATAAGTTTCATGACGGCCTGGACTTCACAACTCAACACCTTCTGTCTGGTTAGTACCACTCCTTGAATAAAAAAAATACACTAGGCTAAACACTAACATGTTTGTGTCTTTGGTTTCCATTTGCTAGGAATTAATTATAGCTATTTTCGTTACAAGTGTAGTAAGAGCGTTTTTACATCACGCAGGTGAATGTTGTGCAACAGTGGAAGGGAGTTTGTTAGGATAAACTAGTTTGGACTTAAAGATTAAATGCTAAACTGGTTTGGCCAGGTGGCGTTAGGATAAACCAGATTGTCTTGCTTTAGACCAGCCCAAACTATTGTGTTCAAACTATTAATAAAGTTAAATGGTAATGAATAAATAACATCTCGACCGCATGTTAGTTTAGATGAGGTTGGATTCGATTTTGACCGTGAACCCGGCAAAACTAGTTTGGCCTAACAATTCAACCAGGCTAAACTAGGCCAAGTTTATCCTAATGCTATTAGGCCCAACTAAATGAGACTTGGAAAAAGAAGGCTAAATAGGTTTATCCTAGGGTGATCAGGAAAAAATTGATCATCATAGTCCAAACTAGTTGTCCTAATATCGGTTTTGTTTGGTATCTACACACACTTTACAGTTTGGCAACGCTATTTTGATGACCAGAAGTGGTTTCAGAGATTACAAATTGAAGTATTTGGATAATACGACTATAGTCCTCGCCACCCTAAGTTGAGGCAGCCCAAGGCCGCACGGCGTATATCTAGTGCGGCCTTTGGCTGCCTCAACTTAGGGTGGCGAGGACTATAGTTTTTCTTAGAACCCATAAAGCATTAAACCCCCTTGAACACAAAAAATAAATCCACTTGACAGCAACAATTGATCAATATCAATGGCTTATAGATTTTTTTTACTCTTAATGATTTTTCTTTATCCAATTTCAAAATTAGATTAGTAAATTTCTATTTTACGAACACATGGTATTTTTAAGTGATCTTTACTCAAATAGTTAAAATTAAGACCTAAATTGCATAACATAGTGCAACTAAAATAAATGGAAAAAATTAACCTATAACCTATACCATCTAGGGGACCGGTGGGAGTTAGGGTTTTGGGTAAGGGAAACACGTTTTATGGGAAATTATTTAAAAATAATCTTTTATGGGACGTTTTATGGGGAAAATGCCAAAAACGCGTGGTGGACTCGCCCAAAAACGTACAAATATGTTCAAACCATTAAATTACCTGGTTCCCAAGAGTGCCCCTATGGAAATTGCTCGGTGCCCCAGCATTTTGGCGATTTAGATAAGGTTTGAAACCAATAACTTTATCAAAAGATCCTAAAGTCGCTTACTAAGTTATAGCTGTTGCGATGTAATAATAAACTCGTAAGGTTGTTAATATAAACATTTCAAAACTTAACATTGGCTACTCCTTTGAAATATAGCTAGAAGATCTCGTACTTAGAAGATTTGAAAAATATAATAAAGTCGGCAATAACTTCTCTGAAATCATCAGAGAAGTTATTAATTTGGTATAAGCAAACATACAAAAAGCTGTAATTACTACATAAGTAATTAGTTAGATACAAGCAAATACTAACATGGTAAAACCAAAGTATAACTTGCTTTTGGGTGCAATTGGTATTTACTTACTCTTTGAAGATATAGCTATTAATACCACTGTAGCAATCACAGTCAGTTATGTTTGTGTTTATTTCCGACGGCTTAAATATAGGAACTACTTTGTGTCAATGCAGCCTTATACACCATTTAACTACTGTTGGAATACTGTGTAGCACTTCACTTTATCTAACACGATAAATAAAATTTTGAAACATTTTGTAGAATGCAACTTTTACACTGAAAACATGAGTACGAAATGATTAATCAAATGTAAATATTTACATTATGATTCAGCTGATTATTTGAACACAGTTGTTATAAAAAGTCAATTTGAAAAAGTTTGAGAACAAATGTTGATTTTATTTTTGGTTTATAGTTTGTTAGCGTGTTTGAAAATTGCCAAAAGTCTCTATGATAAAAGTAATAAAACTGCAAGTAAACTTCAAAATTACCATTGCTCTCAGTAAAAAGAAAATAGCCTACTGGTGGTTTAAACGGTATAAAACGAATCGGTTGGACTCTAGAAATATATTTACGTCTGTTGTTCTTTCACCAAATCCCAAGATGCTTTATAAGCAAGCCACCTAACTGACTAGACGATTATTTGCCAATAAATATCTTTAAAAATATTGGTAATCCATCGGATTTCTCTGTATAACTAAATGCACTCGCAATTACATATTTTCCATATGATGTAAACTATGCCTACATTTTTTGATTACGTACTGTGAGTGGGTATAATACTCATCGGATCATTAGAGAGGTTCCGGTCCAAGAAATGAGACTATTTTGATGAATGAAAACATGATACATTTTTCCTTAATCATTTGGATTTTAATGGATGATTTTTGCAAGGAAAACAGAAGGTCTGTAATGAAGATACACAAGCCATCACGCCCACTCATCTATATTTCCACCATCCATATTTGGATTGACAAATATGGTGGTACCTTAAAAATAATGATGTGCATATTGTACCGTAGAAAAAACGGTACTTTCCTGTTAAAGGGAACATTCATTATTATTTTGGTAGGAGTAATTGTGGTAGGAATCATAATAGACCCGTCTCTAGAAGATAGTTTCTCAACCACTAAAGCTCCTGTAAGGCTCTTTTAGGTGAAGACTTTCTGTGTCTCGGAGATATTTTCACTTAAAACTTTACGCTAAAAAATTATAATTCATCTTCATTATAATTGTATTACGACTCCAGGAGCCGGCTAACTACCAGTTCCAGTACGACGTGTCGGCTCCCGAGTACGGGACAAGGTTCGGACACCAGGAGTCCAGGACTGGCGACTCTACCAGAGGGAGGCAATACGAAAAAGCATACTCCCTTAGTAGATTTCTCATCGATATGGAACAGTTGAAGACAATCTTATTGTTATTTCTGTCAGGTGCACTGTGCAGGTTGAATTTTATTTACAATTTGTTTCTTGTTATTTAAGTAATTAAAATATCATTTAACAAAAAATAAACTACCTAATCATAAACTATAACTTGTCCCCTAGTTATCCGAACATTAAAGCACAAATCATGAAATGAATCCTAAAATTAAATTAAACAAAATTTTGCCGACACTAGCGATTAGTGTCTCCGGACATAAACTGGACACGAAATTTGTCTATGCAAAAAAACTAGCTTTAAAACTTATAATGGAATGAGAAGTATACTTGTGTTATTTAGTCAATGATAGTACTATTAGTTGATTCACTGTCGTAATAACTGACAACATATTGCAAGTCCGAAAACATTGCCGTCCTTAAATAATACTAAAAGTCTACTTTTCATAACCATTTTCCGATTTAAAGTTACTTCAGGTTCCTTTTATATCATTACTAGCTGTAACCCGCGGGCTTTGCCCCGTTTAACTTCTTAATTTTCAAGATTATCTCGTTCGCATGGCTCAATCACGTCCTGGTTGAAGTTTGTTCGCTACGCTCACTCACCTTTAGGTTGGAGCTCGTTCGCTACGCTCACTCACCTTTAGGTTGGAGCTCGTTCGCTGCGCTCACTTGCCTTCAGGTTAGCTCGTTCGCTACGCTAACTCGCCTCCAGGTTGAAGTTCGTTCGCTACGCTCACTCACCTTTTGGTTGCAAATTAGCTGTTGTCATAAATGTAAAAGAAATAATAGTGCTGCACCCTGTTGGTAATCCTTGTAACTTTAATGCTATTGAACATCATAGAACAGAACCAACTTGTTTAATTGAAACAGCTGTTAAGATTCAATAATTCTCATAAGGTTAACATGGGAAACTCCAGAGCCACTGTGGCGGAGCCGGAAAGGATTTTTGAAATAAGAATATGCCTATATGTTAATCGGGAATGTGAGCTATCATCATGCCAAATTTCAGCCCAATCCGACCAGTATTTTTCGAGTTTACTTTTCCCATACACATACATACATACACATACATACACACATACAGCAACCACCTCTTTTTTATAATAGTATAGATAATCAGGATAAAATGAGTTAAACATAGACTAACCAACACAAGTACACTTCTCATCCCATTGTTAATGTCTAAAGCTCGCTTTTCGTATCTAGTTCATGTTGGTGACACTGATCGCTAGTGTCGTCGAAATTTTTTTCCATTATTTTAGGCTTATTATCATTATTTGCCTAAAGAGTTATTGCCTAAAGTAAGATCGTTTTATTTGTCTAAACGAGGTTATATAGCCTAGTAGTTTACGCAACGATTGAGTAAAGATAGTGTCGTTAACACTATTTACGCAAGTTGCGTATACTACTTTACCTATGAAAGTGTTAAGTTACAAAAAAAAAAAAAAAAAAAAAAAAAAAAAAAAAAAAACACTACATAAATATAACTTCTAAAAGAGGTTATGTGTTCGTTTATAACCTCTCATTGCCACTGACAATGATGCAACGAAACATTGTACCATAGATAAAACATACTCCCTTAGTAGATTTCTCATCCTTATGGAACAGCTGAAGACAATTTTATTGTTAGTTCATGTACGGTTTATGTAGAGGTCGTGTTTTGTTTACAATTTGTTTCCCGTTATTACAGCCATTTAAAACCTCGTTTAACCAAATAATACGATCTAATCATAAACAATAACTTGTCCCCTAGTTATATAACCAAACAGTAAAGCAGAAATCAAGAAATTAACCCTAAAATAATTGAAACAAAGTTTCATCGACACTAGCGCCTTTGTGTCACGTACATGAACTAGACACGAAAAACGTGCTTCAAAATTTACAATGGGATGAGAAGTCTACTTGTGTTGGTTAGTCTATGATTGTACCAAACACTGCCACTCAAAAATTAAATTAACCTGAACAGCTGATTAACTGAAGTTTGAAACATTACAATTTTACTTCTTTTCTCTCAATCATTGGTCCGTGACCCGTGTTGTTAAGTAAAAAACCAATGTTGTTAAGTAAGTCACCAATGTTGTTAAGTGGATCTTTTCAATTCTAAGAACTGAACCGAAACAGCTAGTTTACAAAACGGTCGTAGGTAAAATTACATAAATAACAAGAAACATATAGTAAGCAAAACAGTGCATCGGACGTAATAAATATTAAAATTGTCTTCCATAAGGATGATAAATCTACTAAGGGAGTATGTTTTTCTACGGCAATACAAGAGTATAATATATTGTGGAAGAAAAAACATTATACCAGGAAACTATAGTGTTTAATGTGTAGACTAATATATTCCTCTCTCAGCTGGTGTTCCATTTACATTTGCATTTGAGATGCATTCATTCTAGTTTTCAGAAGCCTTTTCAACCATGAACGTTATGCGGTTTACGTCTGTAGCTTGTACAGATGTTCAAAACCTCACAGTTTTTAGCTGAACACATGTGTTTACATTTTATCAGTGTCATTGCTTTTGAAAGAATAACTGCATAGAACTCGCTGCATCACTTTGAATGCGTCAACCTAAAGGGGCAAAACAATCAAAATAAATTATCCAGGGTGCTTGTCAAAACCACTTAATGATGTACCCAAAACATACAATTGAAACATTTAGTTTAAATTTTCGTTCCTATGACATCACTCATATTTGCTTGCGTAATCAACCCTGTAACGTAGTTTAGAATGTTTCATATCCAAAAACATGTGTTTAAATATTTATCACCTGAAAAATTCACGTATGTCAACTAAATAAAATTTTCAACCCCTTAGTAAATATTTACCTTTATTGTTTACTTTTTTTAAATAATCATATTGCTGAACTTTAGTGGTATTATCAGTCCTTATTAATTCTTTTCATGGAAGAAAATATCTCAAAATCAATTTTATTACTGAGGTGAGTTTATTTGAATAAATTTTAATGTTGATGTTATCCTGGTTCTTTTACATTAACCACCAATCGTTTGTTGACACAAATGGGTCCAGAATAATTTTCTTTTAGAATAGTGTGGGCACGGTTCTGCATAGAACCTACGATATTTTATCGGATGAAATATTAAGTCGATATAAAAATAAGTAAAAATATTTTATTTCAATATAAACATTAACTGTAAATACTAATTTTCTGCATTGGTTCTTTTCATAAAGAGGGCCGCCTCCCACTCTTTTACATTGGACTGTGACGTTTAGGAGTAGTTAGGTTAGTTTAGTTCGGTTTAGTTTACAATCAAAAAATAATTTACAAAATTTACCTTTTTCTAAATTCATAAAAAACCACGAAAAATATACGTCTCTGTAAATTTGTCTCTAAATATTACACAAAACTTCCACTTTTTATGTTATAAAGAACTTTGGTGTTAAAATCATAAACTAAACCCAACTGTACGAAACTAAAATAATCTAACCACTGCAGCACATTATGAAAGAGTCTTCTTAAATCTCATTTGGCTTTAAATATTCGTATTCACTAGAGAAGTCGATATTTCTTTTCCATGAAAGTATATCCAATACGATCAATATGAATTAATACTTATCCGATGATATATCGAAGGTTCTTTGCAGTACTGTACCCAGTAATATTATTAGCTCACAGTCTCCCATTTTTTCTTTAATTGTAGCTATTTCTCTTAGGTGAATGGCTTGGAAGATTACTCCAGTCAATGGTTCTACAGCTGAAGAAGTTGAGCTTATTGCTACTCATGTTGAATCTTTTCAGCCTTCAATCTCCAGTAAGTACCCTCTAACTATGAAGGTATTTTGTAATAACGATCATTTATTGTCTTAAACAAATAGGTTAGAATAGTCCTAAGTCACCAGTATCAGATTAATTATAAGTAAAAAAAAAACTATGACACTCAGGTCAAAAGATTAAACGTATTTAAAGTTACAATACTTACTGTGTTAGTGGTAGCTACGTTATATGTGGCCTTTTATCGTAACTATCCTGATATAAACGAAATGTGGTTTGTATTATTTATTGGTGAAATACTTTACGCAAGCTCAAATAAAAATACCGTACTAATTACATTGAATAGCAATTAGAGTATGAGATACGCATTAGGTAATTGCCACTTAACCTACCTGTCTACAAACAACTTCAGGCAACATTTGCTATGATACAAACTACATTAGAGGGTAATTACACGCACGTTTGATTTTCCCACGGATTTGTTTTATAAAGTAGACATTATTATGAAGGATTCTTTACATTATCCATTGTTGAATTTTCTACCGTTACTTACTTATTATTTTTGTAATGGCACAGTCTATTTTTGCATTATCAACATAAAACCAAACGTAATTATTTTGTATAAGTAATAAACATCTGAAATAATTAGTTTTATTAATTAAACAATTACTCTACTACATGCTGATTAAACTTTTAAGGCGTTCTAAAAGAATGTTTTATCATAGATTTTTTACTAATTCAATAGAAGTAGATCAATGGAATAAGGATTAAAATAGTGCAAGCATAGTATAGGCTATATGAAATAGACTACGATATTAAATTAGGCTAATACAAACAGTTGTTAATGATAGTTAATCATTATGATACCTGTTTAGGCTTGACTAGTAGGGTATCTGACTGATGCAATTACAGTACTTATAATTTCAGTTGCCGGTCTCGAACCCAGAGGTCTCTCTAAACGTAAATCTTGAATCTCCATCTTCAAAGTTCAAAGACACAGGTAACATAATTCTTAATTTGAATGAGCTTTTTTGATTGTAAGATTGTATAAAAAGTCAAATAAATCACATTCAATGAGGTTAGAGAGTTAGGTTAGAAAATCCCTAAAGTGGACGTTTAGCCACGAATAGCAGACCTAGAGAAATATAAATTCAGTTTTAAAGTTAACACTAGCCACCATACCCATGCTCCGTAACGGGAAGAGAAGCTAAATAGGATATTTATCATTGTGTTCCATAGATCTCCTGTATGAAAAGTTAGATAACTCAAAATTTAAAAAAATCAGCAAACAAATGATAAAAATAAACGTGGTTTATATAAATTTTGCAATTCTAATATGAAGGGCCGCTTTCACTAAATCTAGTTTACCTTTAACGAGTTTATCTAGTTTAGTTTTTAGTTTACCTAGTTTAACTTTAAACGACGGGTTAAACTTAGGATGGCTTTCCCCAATATTTTATCGTGGTCATCCTTGATCTCTTTGTTTGATAACATCAATATTTTCAGGCCTAATTCAAACAAGTTTAAGCAGTCGAAAATTTGTTGTAAAAAAATCTGCCAAGATGAATCAAAACATGTAAACATTGTTATTTTACTATTCTTTCCTTCAAAAGTCGAGCAGTAAAATAATTTGCGTAGGCTTGTCTTTAAAGGCTCTTGGACAGAGCCTGGATTTGTATACGCAAATGTCTTACTTATCTCTATGGTATACTCATCTCTACTAATCTTACTTATTTTCTATAATCAATGGCAAATCCATATACTAAATAAAATAACCTCATAGTTCTATAAAATATTTTTCGTCATACTGCAGCAAAAACAGCCGTTTTTAATGCATGCGTTGCGGGTCTAATGTTGCGAGAGTAAAAATTATTTTTAGTCTCTAGGGAGTAAAAATCAGCTGTTGTAAACAGTTGTAAATTTCGATTGTGGTAATGGTATTGATCGAAATTTTTTATCGATTGATCGATTGATTTATTAGGTGAGGTTTTAGCCTACTGTTGTTCGATTTCTCGACATATCGATGGTATACATACGTAATAGACGAAATAATTGAATCACTAGTAAACAGCTGCTTATTTGCATTAGCAGAATTGAAAACAAGCTGGAAGTCGTTTTGAGAGGTTATCTTTACATCAAAATTATTTCGTTTTCTAGCTTTGTTTTGTGACGAAAAATATAGTTTACCACCCGGCCAAAAAGTGACTTTTTAACCCTCGCTCATCCTCGGACCTCGGCTTCGCCTCGATCGTAAATCTTAACCTCAAGTCAAAAAGAGTCAATTTAGGCCCTAGTGATGAAATATACTATTTATAACCATCCAGCTGTTAGTGCAAACAAATTATATTGCACTAAAACAAACCCAAGATTTTAAAGACTGCCCTAAAAATAAATTAGTTCATCTAGTATTACCATGTATATTTAAATAATTGGTTATACTCTTGCCGAATAAATGATCTTATTATTGATTATAGCATTACACATAGTATAAAAAACCAACCCTACGCATGCAATTTAATTTTTATCCAAATGCTGAATTTGTGTCACAATCGCTGAAAGTTTACATCTGTTACGTTAAGCAAATGGTATTATACCAAAAACTTGACTAGAATGTTACCGCCGACTGCTAGACTTCTTGAAAATAAAAACCTAATCTCTAAAAAACTAAAACACTAAACTAAAACTAGTGACCTGTAGGGGCCATAGCCCCTAACTTAGACTATAATAAAAATAAACTATATATAAAAATACAAAAACTTGAAATATGTTTTTAAAATTATAAATGTTATGATGCTTGAAATTAACAGTGTAACATCAATGGTATAGTGATTGATTGGTATAGTGTTTCTTGTCTTATATCTTGGTTTTCCTTCCGTTGGAGTCATATATTAGTTGCTTCTGATGAGTCAATGAAATACAATTGTCCATATGAAGGCAACTCCCCATTTCGCGGTAGTAAGTCAGAAATATGTCTACGAATTTGTCCCTAAATTTTAAAACAGCAAGGCCCATTTCCCAGAATCTCTTTTTGTGTAGCGGAAAGCGACGCAAAAGCCATTGCACTGTTGTATTGCCTTATGTTTTTTATGAAACTAGAATCATGTAAAAACTGTTCTTTTGGTTCGTGGGGTTGTGGCATGTTAATGAGTCCATTGTGGCAACATGAGTTGAAATTTTTACTTGTGGCCTCCTCTGCGAAGTAAGTGCGCCACAATGCATGCACATGCAAGTGCTGTTAAGAGGACCAAGATTGTGAGAAACAACACTCAACTAATTTTCCAGCCTTCATCTGAAGGTTGTAAACCAGCTTGTGCATTTCTTTCATAGTTAGGCCTTAAATTACGTTCTCTTTCAGCATTTCTTGTGTCAGTTCAATTCCTGGATACTCTTCCACGTCTTCCCCTACCCATCTAGTTACTTCACTCATAATAAAAACGGAAAACCAAAAAATTAAACAAATACATTATTCATTTCAAAACATTGTTTAACAACATTGACTTTCGGAATAAATTTAAACATAGCAAATAAATAAGTAACAGCTGATTAGAATGCAGACGTTTTTCAATCCCCATGCTTTTCTTATGGTGGATATTTTACGTTATATCTCGTTTTCTGGTAACTTTATGGGAATTCTGCTATCTTCCCCGAGGCCCTGGGGTCAAGACCTTTAATTTAAGACCCCTACCACTTTTCTGCGACTTACCAGAGGTCCACAATTTTCTGACAAAAATGTTGTCTTACAGAATTATATATAAGGATTTGTTTTGACCAGCTGTATGAAATTAATTGTGAGATAAGCATTTGACATTTTCTCGCGTGCATTTTGACGTGCATTTGACAGTTCTGATTGTTTACATTGAAATGTCAACGAGAGGTAAACATTATGGGTTTTCTCATACTTCCATGGGGACCAATTAATATTCAATTTTTTGAAAACCTCAACTCAAACCTTTGGACATCCAAGGGGAGTGGCCCGAGAGGAGTTCAGGGAAGTAAATAGGCCTAAACAATTCTTAGATATGCGATCCGTCGTTGTGCTTAATTTTGGCTGTAACGGTTTGGTATTTTACTCGTGACAGGCGTCCATACATACATACATACATACATACATACACCACCTCATTTTTATTTTTCACTAACTAGTTTAAGAGAACGGCTGGGTGTAGAAACTCGGTAGAGCTGTCTAAAGAAGGCTCTTGGTCTGTAGATGAGTCATCAAAAGAGAAATGAGGCAAATTCCCTTGGGGCTCAGCCCCAGAGGCCTTTAAAGTTCCCTCCCCAGATTTGTTCACGATATGACCAGGTAGTATATTTTACAATATTTTTAATGAAACATCTGTTTGTTTGTATTATAAGCATTTAGTAAATTAGTCCAAATGAAATGTTAACATTATTTTGTGATTTATTTGATTTTCCACTGAATGGTAAGCTTTTTAAAAGTTTAAACAAAATGAAATATTAATGATCTATGCTTTAGTGAACTTAGAAAATGTTATGTTATGAAATCAGTGGAACATATCAATATCAACGGAACAGTTGATTATTCCTTATGGGGTTAGCTTTATCGTAGGGGTTGGCAATTGCCATTTTTGTCTAGGTTCAACATTCATTTATCATTTTATTAAAGAAAGAACGTCAGAGGTTTGTGAGATTAGCATACTTGTCTTCAACTATCGGGAGGAACATTGTGTCATGTTAGTAATATTAAATTTAACAGTTAAAAGGAGCAAAAGAAAATCCACAAAAATATCAATAACGAGGTGGGCGAACAAATAATCGATGATAGGCTTGTTGACTAGAAACGGTTGTATCTTAGGTCTGGGTCATTAATTTCATTCCCGGAGATCGATGGACGCCTCAGTCTCAAGGCAGTTTCATCTCATAGTAGCTTTTAGCGAATTTCCTATATAGGGAATAAGCTATTACCGTAGTACTCATGGTAAGACCTGGACGCGGGACCGATTTTTTTTTCGTTTTGAGGTCCCTAGAGGCAAAAAACACCATCCGTTCAAATTCATATATATATATATATATATATATATATGTGTGTGTGTCCGTGAGCACGATAACTCGAGCAAAAATGATCCGATTTTGATGACATTTGGTACAAACGTGTAAACGTACGTTTATTCGAACGAGTTCGCGATCCAGCATGATCGGACCATGGGAACGGGGGTTTACGGGGGGTTTTATGGGGTAAAAATAGGTTTTTCCCATTTTTGACCCAAAAAACATAAAATTTAGCAATTTTTTTCCAAACCATTTTGTAGAGCTTAAAAAAACAAATAATTTAGTATATTGAAGCGTTATTATGCCCCTAATGGTTACGGAGAAAATTCCAAAACATTGTAAATTTAAAATTCCCATGTTATTCTTATGGAGAATAAGTAAACTGTTGTAGTTTGCTTGTTTGTGAACATATTTTGATCAAATTTGGAAAATGTTTTTATTTCTTACTAACTATTCACATTTTACAAAAAAAAAACAGTTTTACCCTCCCTGATGCAGCAAACCTAAGTACTTGTTAAACTAATTCTATTTAATTAAATCAAGAATAAATGTTATATTTTTAAGTAGACATTTCAGTGTAAATCCAATCAGTCAAATGGAAATTCGCTTAGTCTGCAGGTTTGCTGCGGCGGGGGTATTAAGCTTATATTGTGTGGTTTTTATAAGGAATAAAGTCAAACTCTTCGGAATATCAATGCATAGTCAGCTTATAAAATACTCGATTCAAGGTGCAATGAATACATTTCGAATAATAGGTTATTGAGTCTAGTTTGATGTACTTGCATGCAATAATTTATGGAGTTGGCTTAGGTACATAGAACCATTGACTATATAACACTACTAGTAGTGTTGTCAGATCTACTAGTAGTGTTGTCAGATCTACTAGTAGTGTTATATAGTCAATGATAGAACCCTAAAAAAATTAGAAATGTATTAAATATACTTAGTAGATAAATGTCAAGTAAGTTAGTTATCATATTAGTCTTGAAATAATCACATTCATAGAAAAAGGGCGTAATCAATCAACAAGCTTTCACCTTTTTGATTTATCATATTGAAAGGAGTCTTCCCACTAAAATGTTATACAGTAACTGTTTTCTTTAACAGAAAAGTTTTCCTTGAGTTATCATACAGTTAATTTATGCATAGCTTGCTTATATTATTTTTGTTTTGAATTACAATAAATTGTGTTCATCGGTATTTCTGTGTTCTAGAGAAAACCAGCGAAAACGAAAAATCTATGAAACAAGACAAATATGAGTTGGAAAACCAACGCTGTCCACCTATGAAGAACATAGGAGTAAATAAACGTTTAGTTAATGAATATGGGGATGACGTAGAGAAAATCCAGTACTACAAACCGATTAATGAAGAAGCAAAAGAAAATATTCCAGTAGCACAGTCAAGGAATGATCATACAAAGAATGAATTGGGCAAACAAGTCAAAAGTACCAATAGCAACCCTGTAAATGCAGTTGTTGGAAGACCACTAAGAGCATCGATAATTGTTAACGGTAATGGCAATAGTGAAGAAGAAGAAGAAGCTAACACTTTTACAGACCACAGTCAGACCTCAAATAGGCTCAGAAAAGAAACAGATGGAAAAGGAGACGTGCAAAGATTCGACTCTTTTCAACGAATAGAAAGATCTGATCGTCAAAAATCCGTAGAGAGCCACGGATTGAGCAACGAAGCTCTTAATACCATCAAGAAGATTAACCCTTTTACTATTGGAGATCAGGTGAATTAAGTATTTCTAATACGACTCAGTAATTTGTTCATACACTGTCTCGAGGAAGGCTTATTACGCCTTGTTTATTGTATCTAGTAATTGACTTTCAATAAATGATTCAGAGGAATCAGCTGATCTTAGTCCAGCAGCAAAATGTGTAATCCAACTCAATGTAATATTTAAATTCAAATTTCCTCTTTTCCAAACCAATGTAGGTTTCATAGAACAGAGATTTAAGAGTATGCGTAGCTGAGTGGGTTATAGTGATTGGCTGGTCATCCTGAGAAGGCCAGCTCGATCCTGAGAAAAGTCAATAGCTTTTTGATGGTTCGACCCAGCTTTTCCTTATTATTAGACAAAATCCTGGCTAAAGAAACAGTATCAAAGCCAAGTAACAAACAAGTAAGGGATCAAGTCGGTAACAAAGCTACACTTCATTCTACACTCAACCTTTACTCATATTTGGGTTAAAATACACACCTAGGTAACATCCCTATCTCAAATGGTAGTACTTTTATAAAATACAATTTATGATAGCAATGTTTACATGAGCTCCATACATTATAATATATTATCAGCTATTTTTTATCTTTAAATCTTAATCTTGGTAAAACATATTGAGGAAAAATTGAAAGAAACAGTAAAATTCCTTTGAACAATTAAAATTGTGATTATGTAGTAAGCAACCCAATCCAAACCCCATAGATAGTTCTTGCAAAGTATTCTTGCTTGGTTAAACCTCTTCCTAGTTCCCTTTCCATATCTTTGCATGACTTATTGGGTTAAAATACAATCTAAATTCGTTAAAATATTCAATCAGATTTTTTACTTTGAATTTAAGAACAGTATATTTCATGATTACAAAGCTATTATCTACTTTAAGCAATATATATTTATTGGTTTTTGTCCATGCGGACAACATTTTTTAATAATGATAAACAAGTCTCAACAACGCATTGGTTCTTTTTTTTAATAGTTGCAAATAAAAAATTAGAGACAAAAAAGATTTTAAACGATAAATATTGGCAACAGCTGATCTATTTGAACTTGCTTGCGGGCTCCCGTTCGATTAAAAACCGTGAAGTATGAAAGCTTGCAGTTAACTACATGCTCCATGCGCAAGTGGTTTAGTGGCGGTTTACGGCTGCAATACGGCTCGGTTTCCTCCTGTCGCTGTAACCATGTACAGTAGTGTGAAAGGAGCGTAATTGAAGCTGTTAGTAGGCCTACCAACCACGAATACTAGAAAAAAACTTTGGTCTTTTCTTGTTTTCGTGGTACCAACCTTTAAATTGTTCCAGGTTGCACAGATGATACGAAATCAAAAGTGCTGCTTGAAAGAAGGTGTGAAAGAAAAATCAACTTCCAGTAGAGTTTCAAGTAACTTGCAGCATGAAGACCCAGTAGGTTTCCAGCAAGAAAGGGACGAAATTTTGAAGCAACCTTTGGCAAATGAGGAGAAACAACATTCATATGAGGCTCAACTGGTTTACGATAAGCAGCATCCAAGTAAGAAATTAGCTCACAATGATCAGCGTTCTGGCAACAACAAAAAACCATCGTCACATGAACAAAAACAATTCTACGACATACAACAACCTCCAAGGATTGTGCATAAACCAAACCCTAGCAATGATTATGGGTTCTCTGTCATAATAAAGGCTGGCGAATCCCTGAATTCAGAAATAGGTAAAGCTACAAAGGAACTTGAAATAGATGGTGTGAAACTCAAGGATAAAGTTAAAGCTACCAATGTTGATGGGAAAAATGAATTTAAAGAACAACGTGAAGTAGACTCTAACAATACGGACAGCAATGAAGAAAGTTTTCATAGCAAAGGACTATGGATAGAAAAAAGTCCGAATGCAAACGTTGGGTTTCCAGTGTATGACCAGGATTTAGCTTTCGAGCCGGACCCTTTTAACGGACTATTGGACCAAAACTATTTGACTAACACTATAAATAATGTAAGCATGTTGTATAATGGACCTTCGGCAATCCCCTTTCACAAAATCCAAGCGAGGGCCGTCCAAAAAAACAGTGAGAGACATAATAAACAAACCAGCAAGGATGGAAACGGAAACGTGACACCGTTTGCTGATGTGAAAAGAAGCAAAAATAAAACACAAAAAACCTTCCTTAGTAAAATTACAACCAAAGTACCAACACCCTCAAAATTGACTACAACAACTTTAGAAGAATTTGATTTAGATGATACTACTTCAGAAGTCTCTACCTTTTCATCTTCATCGTCTCTTGAAGATGATTCATCTGATATCGAGCAGTTCAGTGATTTAAAGATTGATTTGAACAAAACCTCTTGCATATCTTATAAAGAACCAGGTAAAAACCTAAATTCCACAAGAATAAACTATGAGGAAAACAAATGCTAATTGTACTTGGTACTCTCATTAAGCTTGTGTACACATTTAGCGCATTAAAAGCTTTATGAAGCAATTAAAATAATAACAAATACTGATCTCTTCCTATTCGTGAATATTGTAAGTAAAATGTATATGGTAGTTGTGGTCATGTTTTAGCAAGATCAATCTGTAGTAACTACATGAGTTGTTTAATTTAGTATTCTTAAAGATATCGATCGGTTTCATGACATTTACCTACTTTTGTTTCTCAACTATCACACATTTTAGATTTAAACTCCCATTAATATTGATTTTTTTGTAATTGTGTTACTCAATTTCATGTCTACAAGTTCCTAATTTCATTGTGAGCATGCCGTTTTTGTACTTAATCATTAACTAGCATATTTTGAATTATTAGCTATGAGTTCGAAAAAGAGATATCTTTGGTTATAATACAGGACAGGACTATGCCACTCCCCCAAAAAATCTATGTATATAAAATCCAATGTATGTTTGTTTGTATGTTTGTCCTTTATGGACTTTAAAAACGGTCTACAGATTGTAATGAAACTTTCAGGCATTATTAAGCATTATTCAAGGATGGTTTGTGTGAAGTTTGGTGCAGATCCGTCAAAAGGGCTCCGCCCCAGTGGCTCTGGAGTTTCCCATGTTAAGGCGGGGACACACTTGTCATACACCCTTCCGATCCGACTCCGATCATACTGCGGTACGACTGTCGGAGAGGGGAATGGTACATAACATTGAACGCGGTTGTTCACACCTCTCCGACACGCGTCATGTCATACTCCGATCCTACTCCGATTTTGGTTCCGATCACGCACCGACACTGCAGTCTATTCGTTTGTCGGATGCAGGATGGGTTGTTTCTTAAAAATCACCTTTATTCTTAAGATTTAAGAATAATGGTTTAAGATAAATATATGCCGATGCTTGATGTGAAATCTGTGCGTGCATACCTTCAATTTGAGACCTCGATCATGAAAATCGGACGGGTAGAAGAGCCAAACGAACTCGAGAGAGAAAACCCAATGTGCTTAATATATAAGATGGACACTTAAGTAAACCACCTAACTTTCTTTCCATACAGAATGAACCCAAATTCTTCGTTTTCCACTGCCCTTCAGAGATGTCTGACTTTTTTCCTCGTCGTCTAGACAAACCGCCATCATGGCTGAATCCCGAAGTCCAAAGTTTTTGAGCATGTTTACCACCTTCTGCACGTAGTTTACAAATCAGACAGGCAAGTGTTGATCGACCGGTGGAGGAAATCGGGCATGGGTCGGAAGCGTGTATGACATGTGTGTTCATCCTCTCCGATCCCGCACCGATCCTTCTGGAATCCCGCAAATCGGATCGTAGTAGGATCGGAAGAGTGTATGACAAGTGTGTCCCCGCCTTAACCTTATGAGTAGGTACTCATATTTAAATGGAATTAAAGAATCTTAACAGCTGGTTCAACTAAACTATCTGATTCTGTGATGTTCAAAAAGTTAATAGGTTTACCAACAGGGTGCAGCACTATATTTTTTTTAATTATGAGAACAGCTAATTTGCAACCAAAAGGTGAGTGAGCGTAGCGAACGAACTTCGACCTGGAGGCGAGTTAGCGTAGCGAACGAGCTAACCTGAAGGCAAGTGAGCCCAGCGAACGAGTTCCAACCTAAAGGTGAGTGAGCGTAGCGAACGAACTTCAACCAAGACGTTATTGAGCCATGCGAACGAGCTCATCTTGAAAATGAACGAGCATGTGACATAAAACCACAATAGGACAGGACGACGTCTGTCGGGCCAGCTAGTAATAAAATAAAAATAACTATTTTAATCAAAAACTTAAATTCAAAAAAGTAAAAAATCAAGATTTCTATTGTACTGTGTTTACGATACAATTTTAGTGTAATTTAACTTTAAAACAAAGTATTCAACTACTTCAAAGAATCATTTACCTATATGAAAATACCAATTAGGGACTGTGTTGGGTTTCAATAAATTGCAAAACTTATTGAATTTACCCAGAAATTTTCCTGGTATAAATCTACTTCCTCAATTTACTGACTTTACCAATTTGTAAAGGATAATTACAGAAACCAATTTACCGGGTTTTCCTCTTTTCCACAATTTTAACGAACCTTGTTGGTAATTTAGCCATAATATCCTTGTACTGTAGTTGGACCCCTGAAAATATTAGCATACGCCCTTATCTTACTAATATTATAAATGTGAATGTTTGTGTGTGTGTTTGTTTGTTTGTTTGTTTGTTTGTTTGTTTGTTTGTTTGTTTGTTTGTTTGTTTGTTTGTTTGATTGTTTGTTTGTTTGATTGTTTGATTGTTTGATTGTTTGTTTGAAGTTCAATCACGCGTTAACCACTGGACGGATTGGGTTGAAATTTGGTATGATGATAGCTCACATTCCCGATGAACATATAGACATATTCTAATCTCAAAAATACTTTCGGGCTCCGCCCTAGTTGCCCTAGAGTTTCCCATGTTGACCTTATGAGTATTCATATTTAAAAGGAATCAAAGAATTTTGCCAGCTGACCAGGACTACAAACACACAGGGGTGAGATATCCACCTCGGGTTTGCATCATTGTGTTTCTTTTGACAAATCCTTCAAAATGAGGCATCACTCAATAGGGGTTGCTATTTGAAAGAAATAAGTCACCACCGACCCCCCACCCTGTTAGGGGGTAAACAAATATTTTGATGTAAAAAATTGCGGAACCTTTGTTAACAACAATCAACGCCACAAACAGAATATTTCTATCTATTTCGGTTCAAAAAATACAGATTTATTTCAAGACCTAATAAACACACTTTATATCAACTTCCATAAGTTTTATGGTGATCGGATGAATGGTTTGGCAACGCATCATGTACAAACATGCATTAGATTTCTATCAATATATATCCATAAGTAAGTAAATTACAACAGTGTTCTTCTTCATCCTAAGAATAACATTAATTTTTTAATTTATATTTGTTTAATTGTTGACTGCCGAATCAGCAATTTTAGATTTACTTGATGATCACTATTTATATTTGAGATACACAGTGTGCCAAAGGTGTGCGCTCTAAAATTGTAAAGAGCTCATTCGATCTCGAGCAAAGGCTTTTATGGTTGTAAATAAGAAATGAAGAGAAGAAACAGGTGTACCGGCTGTATATAGTCTGCATTGAATTCACACGTGGACATCATGCATTCTGCAAAAAGAGCATCGTGCATTGCTAACTTGTTATGATTTTTTTACTGTTGATTCCTTACAATGTATCAATTATCAATTATCAATTATTTAAGATGGGGACGCCACTATGTGCGTATTTTAACCCAAATATGAGTGAAGGATGAGTGTAGGATGAGTGGCGCGATCTTGTAGTCTTGTTAGTGACTAAGGCCGACATGTTCCTTAGACACAGCTGTTAATTAATAGCCCATACAGCTAATGGCAACTAAGGGACCTACAGTTTATTGTGGAATCCGAACCACATTTTTCCCTCGTAATTAACGAATTGGTCTAATTATTTAGGATAGTACTGCGGATAGTCGTAGTACTCACTAGTGCGGACGTTAATCCACACCAGGTAGCATCGCATCCACAGTGCATCCCTATAATTATCCACAATTCGTGACCTCCTAGTAGCTGGATTACAGGACGACGCCTGTAGCTAGTAATTGTTTAAACAAATTATTAAGAAAGAAAATAGCTTACAGATACTATTCATATATAAATTTAACGAATTTCCATTTACCTGGCTGGATTTCTAACAAAATAATACTTAGTTTTGCTGCTACAGGGAAGGTATTGAGGTGTGTTTTTTAATGAAATGTTGATATCTTACTATGAAATAAAAATAGCCAAATTTGATTAAAATACATCGATTAACAAGCCAACTACAACTGTTTGTTTAATTTTCATGAGAATAACATGATCATTTTAAATTTCAAATTGTTTTTATTATCTCCGTGACCTTCAGGCGTACAACAACGCTTCAATGTACAAACTCATTTTTTAAGATCTACAGAATGGTTTGAAAAAAAATGAAAAAATGTGTTTTTAGGGTCGAAAATGGGAAAAATAAATTTTTACCGCATTAAACCCCCCATAAACCCACGTCCCATCGTTCGATATGCTGGCATCACAATCGGATAGTTTTTGCGCGAGTTATCGTGTTAACAGACACGCATATATATTTATATATTTGTATCTATGAATTTGAATGGAGGGTGGTTTTGAGCTATGGGGACCTCAAAACGAAAAAAAGTAAATCGGTCCCAGTTCTAGGTCTTACCATGAGACCTACGGTAATAGCTTATTCCCTATATGGGAAATTCGCTAAAAATGATGCTAGATGAATTTATTATACTAATAATGCTTGAAACTCTACCCAATCTGATGGTGATTTAGATTAAAATTTCCAAGTCATCAGAGTAAAGACGTAATTGAATTTTTGTTGTTTTAAATCTATGTGAAATCTTAGTTGACTTGTGCAGCCAGAAAGGTTGATTCTGAATAACGATACCAACCACTTAAAGTAGAATACTAATTTGACGAGAGTTTAGTAAGTTTTCATTCCAATAAAACCTTTCTGAAAGTAATTACTGAATACATGAGTCAATAAATTTTTAATTAGATTACGTTTGTGCACTATACAGATTCAGTTCTGAAAATACTTCAATGAAGAATAATAAACTCAGATCCCCCTTTCAAAAAAGTGTAATTTAAGGGCACCAATCACTACGAATAAATGTTTTCAATATTTTTTCATAAGTTAAAATTCTTTTAACATATTTTGTCACAAAAAAGTTAAATACATATTATAAGTACAGTTGGATTTTAACTAGATGTAGCTATAGTAAATTATCTTTGACAATGAACTTATTTGTCTGCTGTGAAATCATGTGTTTAAATTTTCAAATTCCGAGGCTATATCCAGACAAACATTCTGTTATGTTTATTGAACAACATATAACCTCAACAGTTTGCCAAGTCTGATCACATTATTGCACTACAGACAAAGATTAATATTTGATTTCCTCTATTAATTTTAATTGAGAAATCGATCGGCAAATTATCTATTAAATTGCACAGACAGATTTACACAGCGTGACATGCTACATGCAGAGCAATGAGGATATCTATTATAATAATTATACTATACAATCCTTATACCAATAAATCTGTTTGGATTATATTGTAGTATTTAGTCATTAGAGATAAGAGAACGAATTTTTTAAATGTAAGAAAAATATTTTGAATGAAATAAAATTTTTTGTTTACATGCTGGAAGTCGTTTTAAAGGTTATCATTAAAATGAAAACAACTTTTATTTCGTGACTTAGAGTTTTTACATTCTTTTATAACAGTGCAATATCACAAAATGGATTTTTAATATAACATAAGTTATAATACAATACCATATAGATAATAATTAACCTATGCAATAAACATGTATATCCGACAAAATACATTAACAATAATTTCATTTAACATAGTACAGAGCATGTCGAATGTAAGAAAAAATAACAATACCATAGGTGATTTCAACTTATTTCGTATCACTTTTTCTTCTATATTTTTGATTGGCACGTGAAACTTGGAACAAGGTAAATAAGCTGATATTTTGAAAAGATCTATAACATATGCATCAGAGACAACACCTGTCCTAACAATAGCACAGAAGTAGTGCAAGAGGAACACACAATGCCTGCTCATCTAGTAGTGACTGTAAGTTATTATTTTAATTTCCATAGTTTTTTATTGATGTAACATTACTTTTCTATTTGTGCAAAGGATCATCTTGTGACAAAATCATCTTGGTTTTATGTTATTTTTATTTTTTTTAAGTCTTTAGTTTCACTGCAAATTTTAAAGCATATTTACCTTGTTACACTAAAAGTAGTTTATGAAAACTATTTTTAATAAATAACTAATTATATTTACTGTCAATTTATATAAAAGATATTATAGTATTAAAGAAAATTGAACACATAAATTACAAGTTTTAATCACTCATCATTTTCTTTTTTCGTTTTTAATTTAAAACTATTTTATTTCCCAATTGTTAGATTTATTATAGTCAAATAATTTAATTGTAATGCAAAATTTGTATTCGATAGTTAGAAAATTGAGCCGTACTTATATTTTCTGTTCGTAAATACACATTGAAAGCTAATGGGATACCCGCAGTTTTATATGATATACAGTATAATAATTTTTGTTTACCAGCAAAAACAATTAATAATTATTCTCATTCATTTATAACAGTTTCTGAAAGTAACAGCTCATTCATAATAGACCAGACAATGATTGTTTGTTTGATTGATTGCATCAGGAAACATAAATACAGTAATCAAAAATTCGACATAATTGCATTTAAACATGTTTACAAATAATTTTGACAAACTTTTGTATTAATTTCTTTTGAATAGAGATAGTAAGAATTGTAAAAGTGCTTTGAAGATTCTTAAATCTCTTGCAGATAAGTATTGCAATCCAAATAACTAAAATTAAGTTTATAGAGTAATTATTTTTGTAAAGAAAGATTTTAAAGCATGTTCTTATCAGTATCATCATTGAAAATTGGATTGAAGGTACAATAAATTGGTTTAATTGGTTACCTATGACTATAAGACGTTTAATACCTTCTTTGCTTACATACAAGGTTAGTACTGTCTATTCTCTGTTTACTATTAAACTTTTCAAGTTTTAGGCAAACGTTATGGTAAATACAACTAAAGGCCGTATACAATCTCCTATAACATACCACAAGTAACTTATTTAGACGGTAAGTCTTTGGATCTTGTTCAAAGCTAGTACTATCACTTCTATTTTCCGACTCTTAGCATAATGAAATATCTGCAGCTAAGATTACGTTTATATCTCAAGTGTGTTATGGTATTTTATTACGAGGGTATTAAATTTTATCAGTATTAACCTCTCAATTTTAAAAACCATAAGCTCTCCGTTATTTGCTTTAAAAAAGTGCAACAGTTGCAGGTAATAATTATACTAGCAGCTGTACAGGGGTATTACTGCAATCGCGACGAAGAGGCGCTCCAATGGTACCACAAAGTTCAACGCCTTTATAAAGAAACTGAACCTAGTTTCATGGGGTAAATACCCACAGCTTAGTTTTGTATAGGATAAGTTTTATTATTAGGGGATAAAACATACAATGATGAAAGCTGGGATAAACTGCATATGATCTAACTAGGCATGACATTGTTTCAGTTATGCACTAAATCCGTAGGACTCAAATTAAAACTAGTTCTCTTTCTATATTAGTGTTTGGTTGGCTCCTCTGACTACTACATTATGTTATACATCTTGTTGTTTTGTTTTCAAGATTCTTTTACAAAAAATAACTCTTAAAACAAGTTACCTGCTTGCATCAAATTTAAGCAAGCATTTTAATCTAAAACTTTTCCGAAATCAATGCTTCGTCTGTTTTATATAAATGAATGTCTATTTGAAGTATTTAAAGTCAATAGTAAATCTAGTCCACGTGGGATGTATACTTGCATTATCTAAAGTCAATGGTATATTTGGTTCACATAAATATGGAATGCCTATTTGCAGTATCCAAAGTTAATCTTACATCCGGTTTACATCATGGGATGCCTATTTGGAATATCGAAATATATCTAAATATAAATATCTAAGTCAACGGTGCATTTAACTAATAGGTTATTCATTTTGTATTAAATTATGCTCAACGGTTTTAATGTGAATGTTTTTTAGCGAATTTCCCATATAGGGAATAAGCTATTACAATAGTAGTACTCATGGTAAGACCTGGGCCCGGGACCGATATAATTTTTCATTTTGAGGTCCCTAGAGGCCAAAAACACCATCCGTTCAAATTCACATATATATATATATATATATATATATATATATATATATATATATATATATATATATATATGTGTGTGTGTGTCCGTTAGCGCGATAACTCGAGCAAAAATGATCCGATTTTGATGAAATTTGGTACAAACGTGTAAACCTACGTTTATTCGAACGAGTTCGCGAACCAGCATAATCGGACCATGGGAACGGGGTTTTATGGGGGGTTTTATGGGATAAAAATGGGGTTTTCCCATTTTTTACCCTGAAAACAAAGAAAATTGCAATTTCTTTTCAAACCATTTTGTAGAGCTTAAAAAAAGAAATAATTTAGTATATTGAAGCGCTGTTGTATGCCTAACGGTCACGGAGAAAATTCAAAAATAGTGTAATTTTAAATTGCCATGTTATTCTTAAGGAGAAAATGAAAACTGTTGTAGTTTACTTGTTTATGGATATATGTTGGTAAAATTTGGCAAATTTATTTAGTTTATCCTATACTATTGATGTATGGCCAAAAACACTTTTTACCTTCCCCGTAGCAGCAAACCTAAGCACTCGTTAAATCTAATGTTATTTAAATTGGGAATAGCCTAAATATGTCTTATTCATGGAAATATTTTAGTAATAATGTAATCAGACAAGTTGAAATTCGCTTAGTCTGCAGGTTTGCTGCGGCGGGGGTATTTTCCTTTTGTTCTCTATTTGTAATATGCTAGATTAGGTGATTTTTTGATAAACACGTGTTTCGGCTCTTTTGTTTACATTTTTATTGTTATCCTGCAAATAATGTCACGGTAACCAAAAAACCTATAAGGCCCATGTTAAATTACTAAAACTTTAAATTCACGTATTAAATTCCAACCTGGAAGCCAAGCCTAGTTCTATTGACCGACCAAGCTGAATCCAGCACTGACAATTTACATGTTTAACCTTAATCCAAAATATCATAATACTTTTAGATGTTGGGGTTTCTGGAAGTCCAATGAAAAAGTGGAAGCTTGCCATGAAGAAGTAAGAAAAAAGAAGTATGAATTAATGCTGGAGGTTAGAAAAGGGTGGTTGGAAAAGCAGTATTTGCCTTCTGTTGATGATATGCCATGTACAAAAGGGTATGCCTGGTTCAACATAGGTCTGTTTGACGATCCAGCTAAACTGCCCTGTGATGTAAGTAGCCTGTAGAAATTCGTTGTAGAATATTGTTTTTAAAATTTTCAATCTTTTTTTTACTTAAAAAGGGTTCCTCGATTCGTTAGCTCACTTTGAAGAGCGACGATCTGTGATTCAAAGAAAAACGATGTCGTAGGTTCACATGTTGATTAACCCCTTGAAATACACTATTACAGTTTATTAATAAACTGTACTGGCTTATCGCTACATTTGCTTTATACGGTCCACACACACAGGCCAAGTGTATTTAGTATTTGCTAAGTAGAAGACCGAATTCAAAATTAAAGAGGCCACCAACCTCTGTAAATATAGTAGCCAAATTCAGAGGCATCTTTGAGAGCACTGTCCCTTATTTGTGAGGAATTTATTTGTAGAATGTAGCCAATACTTATAAATTTTGCAATATCACACACAAAAAGAATTTCAGTTAAAATTGTATTAAATAGTTTTGTATACAGTTATTGAAGATGCAAGAAACACAACTAGTGTATGTAGTGCCATATTTGTGTTAACCAATAGTATAAAGTGGGACAAATAATTAAAACTATATCGTTATTTTTCTCCCCTTTTAACACTAACCCTTTAAGTATTCTGTAAAAGTCCTTAGACACTGGTACTAGCATACATCTGTTGTCGAGTTATAATAATTATATCTGGGAAGTCTTGTGATTATTTTGATAAAACCTGAAGGTTATTTCAGTAAGATTAAATAATTTGCTTTCGTCAAAAGTCAGACAGACATAGAATCCCGTATCGAAATAGTAGTTTTTAAACCTAGAACTAATCCCGTCAATGTGTCAACTTTTGGAGTAATCCTATTCTTCTACAGGAGAAAGCATTTGAAAAACCTAAATTTACCGAGGATCAGATTGAGACTAAATATAGGGAATTGAAACAGTTATGGCGGGATTATGAAGCAATGTGTTATTCTAATTGCGAAGAACAGGAGAGAACAAGAGGTTTGATACTGGCGGAGGCCCTCAAGAAAGCTGTTGAGGAGGGGTATATAGATGATAACTGCACACCGGAAGGCTTCGGCACCTGGAGCTTTGATAGTGGTGAGATGGTTTTTTCTAAATTTGGGTAACCATAATGTATTTGCAAAAACTGGTGACAACTTTAACGTGGGGAATGTGGATGTGTGTAGTTTTATCAATATTTAAAGATTCAGGGTATCAGTTGACGACGGAAGTGGCAACGCCGCAGTCCCGGCCTAATGGAGCTTCTGTTCAACATTTATGTTAATTCTTTGTTATTACTGGTATCACCATGGCTATCAGCCGACCGGTGCGACGTTGCCACACACCAACGCCGTAGTAGTATTAGACGAGGCTATAATAATAGGTTTACTTGTGGAGCGAGCTGATCTAGTGGTCGATCCCCGAGGTCCTGGGTTCAAATCCCGCCAAATCACCAATAGATCCAAGTGATAATGCCTCAACCCCTAGGTTTAGCTTGAAGTAATGTGAAAAAATCCAAAAAAATAGTCATTATTATTATTGAAATAAAAACATCGTGTAATAAGATTATAACAAATGTTTCAGTTACATAGTTCATTTTACAATGATAAGCAGGTAGTACGCAACATATCCCAACATAAATTCTCAAGCTTAAATAAGCCTTATGAAACACAAACATCCAAACAGCCTTTATGTTCACAAATCATCTAACGGCCGTAAATGCCTATTCAAACTAGATTTTGTTTAACCATTTTAATTATTAGCTCATTTCTGTACCTGGACCCGGGACCGATATACTATTTAATTTTGATATCCGTATAGGCCATACACTATTCGTTCAGATTTATGTATATATATATACACGTCCGTAAAAGCGAAAAATTGAGTAATTATTGCCCGATTTTGATGAAATTTGGTTTGAAGGTAAGCCGGGATAAACGTGAATGAGTTCGCGAATCAGCGTGATCGGACGATGGGAACTGGGTTTTACGGGGTAAAAATTGGGGTTTCTTATCTTTGACACTCAAAACACAAAATTTCCCAATTCCTCCCTAGACCGTTTTAAAAAGCTTAAAAACAAATAATCTAGTATACTAAAGTTTTGTTGTATGGTTATTGGACCACAACAAACAACAATGCTTTGGATAACAATTCTTATGTTATTCTTATGGAGAATGTTATAAAACATTCAGTTTTATTGTTAATTAAAAAAAAAAATTCTAAATTCAAATATATTTATTTGTGATAATAAAAAATCTTGGCCTCGCCAAGCTTGCAAAACTTGTCGGCGAGGTCCAATTGATTCACAAAAACTTAACAAACATTACATTTTTTTCTTTTTTGTCTTTTTAACAAATATAAATAGTTCTAGCTACTAATTCCATGGTGGTTTGTGGCAGGCACCTATCCAAGTTATACATAATAATGGCAGCAGGAATGTAAAATTCTAAATATGGCTTGAAAAATTGCTGATTTATAATCAATGCGTCATTCCAAAGTCTTTGTTCTCCTGGTTCATAGACCAGGGGTTTCTAAATATAATGGTAATGGTAATGGAAATATTTTGCTCAAACTTGGCAAATTCAATTATTTTATTCCAAGCTATTAATATTTTACAAAAAACACTTTATTGGCCTCCTTGTATCAAAAAACCTAGGTAATTGACCTTTAAATAGATGTAATTAAAATTCAATGCAGGCAAATGGAAATTCGCTTAGTTTGAGGTTTTCCGTGGCTGGCGTATTTTTATAACTTAAAATATTTAATAGAAGTCATATGTCTTTAATTGTTATTTGAGAGAATATTTTTATTTTGCAGGAATGCCAGAAACAGACATGCCCTGTATACCGATGCAGAAAGAAACAAAAGATGGAGGTTCTGGGACAAAGAAATCGTCATAATCCTATTATTTGTTTAATTGAGTATAAAACGGAGACTTTGAAAATATCTCATCGCATACATAATATAGTGGTGTGCACAGAGTTGACATAGTGTTTAAACTGTACCCAGTGTTAACTGCTAGGTTCCAATATTTAAATTTTTAGGATCAAATTTGCTAACCATTTCTTAAAATTAGGTTTACTTTTTTGTTTACCCCGCTATGGTTTCCATAAATTTGCACATGTAATTAATAGTTGAGTTGGAATCACACATGGAAACTTAGTTTTAAACATTTCTTGGTAAAAAAAACTCATGATTTATTATTAACGTAACCTTAAAAACCTTCGAGTTTGGTAAAACGCTATGTTGGGTCTTATTTAAAATAACTTCCCAATCACACATAACCGCATAGATAACTATGCAACAATACATATAAGGTGATCTTTAATGAAGTAAAAAAACAGGGACTATAAGCTTTTTTTGTAACTAAGACGAGTCTGACAGTATTTTTAAATGGATTTGCGTTTTAAAAACATCCTGTTTATATCTTTACAAAAATGTCGTTAAAAATGTAATCATGTGATCATGTTACTTTCCTCTATTTAGAGAAGACTAGTGCACCTGTTGCTCGAAATCGAGCAATTGCTAATTATTACAAGCGTAACTTAAAAACGAATAACAGTCATAATTTAGATAGTGTAATCAATCACTCCACTCCAGTTATCGAAACTGAAAACGAACTCACTCTGAAAACGAACGCTCTTCTTTAAATCATGTGTTTACTTTGAACAGGTGCAATCAATACAAATTACTCGTTTGTTTAAGTAAACAAAATCTTTTCTTCATAAGAAATACATTGGGATTTTGATGGCCTGTGGGGTGAAAGCCCGAGGACTCTTGTAACAGGAATTGGTGAAAGGGGGCGTCTTCACAAAAATACTTAATTTTGACACATCGGTTGTAAAAATCCGTCCATTATTAACGGAGGAGTAGTTTTTCGTAGAAATCACCTTCACGTATTATTAAAAAAATATTATTAAATCAATTATTAAAAAATAAGAGCCTAATAATATATAAGGATTCTCTTCGCATGTACCTTATTTTACCTATAAAAGGCTTACACATATTGCATAAAAAGGAGAGGACTAAGTATATACAACTTTAGACATTATATATATTTAAGATTGTATTTATCTTAAGAATACAGGAATACTGTAATTTACACTTAAGTGTAAATTACACACAAAAGTAAACGAACAAACTAAAGCATCGAAAGTGAACATTATTGGTAAAGTTAGGTTTAGATTTTCGCTCAAGGGATGATTACAAATTCAACCACAGCTAGCTAACGGATGTCGGATGTGGTCGGATGGACAAAACTGCCCCTGGAGCTTTGTTGATCAGCTGATGGTTAAACTGGTGTTCAAATCAGCTGTTCGGGGAGTAATAAAGCAAAACCATACTAGCAGTGGTCAGTGATGTAGCCATGTAACAAACGATCCACTATGGCTAACGTTTGTGGTCAGGACCACATTACATACCTATACTCCGTTCGCAAAATTTAGGTGGTTTGAGGGGAAGCGATTCCATTCCCTACACTTAATCCAAACTATGTAACAGCATCCGACAGCTGATCAGCTGATAAACAGGGTGTCTGTGAACTCTATCGAAAAACTTCACAGGATTGTTCCTTGAGTTAATACAAGAATATTTTAATTTATAAACATGGGTCGACGGAGTCTCGTTTTGCGGCTGTCTGTCGGTATGTGATTTTCACAAATGAACCCCTAACTTTCAAACTCCTTAAGCGATTCACTTGAAACTTGGTACGTAAGTGGTGATAGGTAAGGCTAATCTTTGCACAAAGTATGAGGTTTATAAATTGAGCCAATCTAAAATGGCGGCCATTTCAAATTTTCTTTCTGAAATAATTCAAAAACCGTTGATTTTACAAAAATATTACAAGAAAACCCTTTTAAGGCAATTTAATCACAAATCGATCGCCATCTTATTTTTTAAGATTGAACGAATATTAACTTAGGTATGGCAGCTTTAGTGATACGTGACCACTAGAGGTTAGTTGCATTGCATACCGAGGCATGCGGCTTAAGTCTGCCACAACAATGCAACAGTCTTCGTCCGCTTTGCAAGTTGTTTTTAAGTGATTTTAGATTGTTTCAAACAACAATAAAATATAACATAACCCTAAAAGTGGCTTTTTTATCAATTATTATCTATCATTAGTATGGCTTATAAGCTGTACACCTTTTTACTGACTTTAAAATTAACACAAAACGCCGTTCTAAGCCATACTAATGATAGATCATTTCTCCGATTTCTTCTAGTGACATTGGTAATTATTTTGTGTAAAATATTTGCACCATTACATGAACGAATATTTTGATAACGTTTTATTTACAAACTAATGAAGAAGTGAGCTAAATAATGACGTAGTGTTCACTATGATTCATTAGTGTTGACTAAACATTTTAACAATCCAGCAACAGCTGTTAAATAATAAATAATGAAAGAAAGTAAAGACCACAGGCATCACAGCAAGTTGACGCCACATTATCCTTAAGAAGCATAACAAATAATGTAGCAACTATTTGTAAGATTACCTTTACCGTATCTTCATCTTTTACCCAAAAGGGATTGATGGCGTCAATACTTTCAAAAATCAAAAATATACATTTAGACAAACTGACATAAATACAAAACATATATTTACAACATTGGCAATGTAGATAGGCGGATCAGTCAGAAAATTCTGGGAAAATGTCTTCAAAAAATAGTAGGAATAGTAGGCTCTTGACTTGAGTAGAGGGACCAGCTTCTTTAAGAAAAGCTTACGCTCAAGCTGTTTGATTACTTCAACACTTGCTTGTTTCCTTTGTATAAGCATAACTAACACCTCAGTAAACAAAAATATATATCATAAGGTGAAAATTATGCCTCGTAAACTCAATAATGTCCGCTCTGTTAGTTGGTTTATTATTACAACTAATTTGATACATTTACAGAAACACACAAGACTCTCCACAGCCTGTATAGTGGATGTCAAGACCAATATTGCTAAGTTACAATCAACATTGTTAGTTCTGACGGTTCCTGACAGCGGTTATTGGTTTTGTTTGATCACAACAACAACCAAACTGGTTAAAGTTCCACGATTCTTGACAGATTGATTATTGTAGCTAAGCTACTTGTACTGATGTGGGATCTTGGCGATGCCTAATTGTTGTTTCGCAATATTCATAATTCACGCAGTACATGTCAAATGCTAACCCGTCCAGTGCTAAACGTCCGCAGTGAGCTCAACCAAGTGGAATGAGAAGAATATTCAACCACATGCTATTTTTGAGATCCAGGCACTGCTTCAAAATGCATAACTTCAAAAGGCAATGCTTCGAAACACATTTTTGGAACAGTACCTTTTGGAGCACTCACTTTTGCATTCTTTTCGAAACAGCGACTCAGCTGTACATTCTTTTCGGAAAAGCGCCTAAGCTAGGTATTCATTTCGGAACAGTGCCTCGCCCTTGCATCATAAGGAATAGTCCCTTTCTGAGGTATACCTTTCGAAGCAATGTCTCGCTAGTTTTCAGTGTTGTAAGGGTTTTTATTCCTGGAGAGCCGCGATCTTTTTTAAAAATTAATGATTTAGTGCGATAACGTTATCTGAAATAGCCTAAACTTGATTGGTTGTACTTCAATTTACCCAGGAGTCCAAGTTTGTAGCCAAATAGCCCACTGTGATGTGACTAAGGACGAAGGCATTAATTTTGTAAAAAGGAGAAGTACTTAATTAAGGTATATGGGTCTGCATACCATACGCCACCGTTTGTTTCTGCTTAATAGCACTACATGAATATATGGTTCGAGAGTAAAATATATAAAGATAACAAGCTGTTGTACCCATGCTTTGCTAAGGAAAGAGGACACGAAATAGAAACATGATCTTTATAATATTTTTACATCCGTTGTTTATAGTTATTTGTGCAACTAATGAGCAATTGCACTTTGCACTCGAGTTGCACATTATATTTTTTCTACAGATACCATAAAACAAATAAATTGGTAAAGAAACTTAAGAGGGTTCCCTACCCCCATTGAAAAACGTCAGAAACCCGCTTCGCGCGGTATCATATAGCGATTCTAGTTTTAACATTTAAATTGTGAACCAAACACCATTTTGTACATAAAGAGTGGTTTTACTAAGTTTGCTTTTTAAAAAATGTCTATGCTTACGCAATCAAGGGCAACGACTTGTCAAAGTTAGTGAACTTTACAGTTAAAGTTCACTAACTTTGACAAGTCGTTGCCCTTGATTGCGTAAGCATAGACATTTTTTAAAAAGCAAACTTAGTAAAACCACTCTTTATGTACAAAATGGTGTTTGGTTCACAATTTAAATGTCAAAACTAGAATCACTATATGATACCGCGCGAAGCGGTTTTCTGACGTTTTTCAATGGGGGTAGGGAACCCTCTTAACATATTTTTACACAGAAATGAACTTTTAATATGACATTTAATGTTACTTAAAATGCCATGTTTTAATGTCATTTAATGACATTTTGTTGTGTGTTGTTATGTGTTTATGTGTTATGTGTTTAATGTGTTTAATGTTGTTGTTTGTTGTTTATGAGTTATGTGTGTGTGTGTGTTTAATGTTTAATGTTATTTAATATTACCGTTGATACAACGGTACAACAGCTGACCAGCTGATTTACCGCCAGTGCTGCCAACGTATGTCGCGCGCATAAAAACTTGTCTGCATGCATTGTCTCACTGATGAGCGAATTGGCCACTTTGCTTTCTCAAATCAGTGAGAGAACACGTACATTGTTAGGTAACTGTAGGAAAAAATAGTTACACATCCGCTAACGCTTTTAGAAACAAAATTCAATCTTTGTGAACTTTATAGAAAAATTTGTGGCTTTTAAATCTGGTAATTGGTGGAAGCCGCCATTTTGGTTTTGATTAATGTATAGCTTTGCGTAGGCTGATATGAGAAAAACATACCAAATTATAGAATAATATATTCTCATACATGATTTTCCTTCATCTCCCTTATTTACATATGTTTTTTTCTTTATTTTTG